TTTCAGTCCAAAATGTCCAGTTCAGCTTTTGTGCAGTTAATAATTGCAGCAATGTATCGTGTAACAGGCATGGCTCATGTACTGATGACTTTGATAGTATTTCCACCATTCCATTTTATCTTTAGGAAATCTGTCATGTTTCTTTATTAATCACATTGTCCAGAATTGATGTTTTCCAACTGTAAAATCTCAAATCTCCATAGTTCCTGATGGTTTGGCTATTTGGTATTTCAATTCAGTTACTGTTGGCTATTTTACTCTGCTTTTTGCTACTGTAGCAAATTTCTCTAGGCCAAATTCCATTGTTATATTTGTGCTAAAAAGTTCCTACAGTGATTTTGCCACCTTATCATCAGTGGGAACAAGAAGATGGCGAAGGTCAGCTGGATAATGGAGTGCAGGGTGGCAGGGGACTCAGAGTGCAAGGCAGCAAAGGCAGAGGCAGCTGGGGCTTCCTGGGGTGGCGATGGCTTTCCACTGGGCTGCCAGGCTGTAGCTTCATACCACACTATTGGGCTTCTTAAGATAGCTGTGGTTTCCCCCCCATGCAGCTTAACTGGGCTAGGAAGCTGAGGCTTTTAGGGGTGACTGCAGTTTTATGCTGCATTGCAGCTCCGAGCTTCCTGCCTCAGAAGCATGGTGCATTAACAAGCCCCTGAACCACAGTGTGGCAAGTAGTTCCACAGCCACACAGTTTGGGGGCTGCTTGTTGCCATGCAAGGCAGGGTGCAGAATGAACAGTGGACCTGTAGTACAGTGGACTAAAGCACTGTTATTAACATCTGCTGCCTTCAATTACTGGAAGTTCAAATCTCACCAGGCTCAAGGTTGACTCAGCCTTCCATCCTTTCTAATGTAGGTGAAATGAGGACCTAGATTGTGGGGGCAATAAACTGACTTTGTATAAATATACAAAAGTATGAAGGCTATTGCTTAACACATTGTAAGCCGCCCTGAGTCTCCAAAGAAGGGCGGCATATAAATTAAAGAAAAAAAGAAAAGAAAAAAAAGAACAAAAGAGCAAAGAGGGTAGGTGGGGAAGTTGGACGTAGTCACTTAACTTACTAAGGTTCAGGGTTGGTCCAACCCAGAATGGCTTGGATTAGGATGGCCTTCAGCTAAAGACCAATGGATTGGCTTAACAATGGGGTTGTTGGGAATGCATTGCTATGTGATGTGGTCATGTGATGGAAATTACAGTCCCAATCAGTGGTGAAATGTAAAATTTGTTACTACCAGTTCTGTGCGCGTGGCTTGGTGGGAGGGATAATGTGACTGGGTGGGCGTGGCCAACTTTTTTTTTTAACTTTTAAAAGCATTTTTTCTATAACCTCTTCGGCCAAAGAGGTTGTTTAAAAAATGCTTTTAAAAGGCTTTGAGGATCCCAGCTGAGTTGCCTAATCATTAGAGCCTTTTAAAGAGGTTGTAAACCTCTTCAGCCGAAGAGATTGTAGAAAAATGCTTTTAAAAGGCTCTGACAATCCTAGCTGACTGGGCGATCATCAGAGGCTTTATTTTTTTACTTTTAAAAGCATTTTTTCGGCTGAAAAAGTGCTTTTAAAAGTTAAAAAAAAAAGCCTCTGATGATTACGTGGCTCAGCTGGGCATGGGGGGGGGGCATGGATTTTTGCTACCAGTTCTCCAGACCACTAGCTGCTATCACTACCGGATCAGGTGATCTGGTCCGAACCGGAAGCATTTCACTCCTGGTCCCAATTCATATGGCAGGACTACCTGTCTGATAGATATACTTTTAGAGGGCACACACATGTCTTAAACATCAGATCTAGTCCTGACAGTTAATCACAGGTTTCCTTATGTTTGCTCTTGGCTGCACTTGGCAGAAGTATTAGTAAGAGCTTAGCAAGTTAGTTTTTATTGGAAACAGGAAGAAAGTCTTAAATACAGTTGTTGATTGCCCACTGCAGTGCAAAGAAGTCAGAATCTTTATCTGTAGTGTAACTATGCTCCTGAGTTTAAGCTTTTGCATCCGGCTCTTTCAATTAATTGGTATCTTAATGGCCTTGGGAGGCAACTAAATATGTTCTTTCTAGTCTGGGAACTGCTGGTTCTACATCAATAGTGTCATCTTTACATTGTGTGCCATAGCATGCATTGTAATTTTTTATTACACAGAGAGGAAAAGAAGGGCCATTAGAGCTGCTGAATTGTTAATAGAGATAAAACTTTCATAGTGCAGAGTTGCATAGCCTGTGATATTCCAATTATTATTGGACTATAATTCCCCATGTACTTCCTCAGGGAAAGTTCTGGAAGAAGCAAATTGTACCTTCTGGTTTATTTAGTATGATTATTAGTGAAAGAGAAATTCTTCTTCCCTAGTTTTTTCCTTTTCTCCTTTGTAACAAAATAAAAAGATCTGCATAAGCTTTTGGGAAGCCTCACAAATACCCATTCATTCTGTGCTTCTCAGATGGACAGCAAAGAAAAATTTTGATGACAAGAGAGGGGTTCTGGTACTGGTGTGGCAGGTGTGGACAAGTGCTGAGACCTGGGTTTTTATCAGAAGGAATGAAAAAAGAAAGAAAATCTTAAGCGAAGCAAGGAGAAGTTGGGCCATCATGAAACCAAGAAGGAAGGAAGAAGGGGTAGCTTTGCACAACATGATTAAGAGAAAATGAATAAGCAGTTTCTTGACAGAGCTGAAGTTTGTCACCAAGTGAGTCCTTCAGCAGATTCAGCCACAAAAGAAATCTGTAATGCACAAATGGATTAATGGTGCATGTTGATAGGCGAAAAGGCTGTTGGAGAAAAGAAGAGGTTGAGAGCTCTATAAGAGCAGCTACTGTGAATCCAGCAGCATTTAAGAGTCCATCATCAATTTTGATTTCAATAACTTGCTCAGTTGGCCTTTTTTTGGGTTCTCAGCCTGAAAGATGGGGAAAAGAGGAGATAATAGCAATAGCAATAGCACTCGGACTTATATATTGCTTCATAGTACTTTACAGACATCTCTAAGTGGTTTATAGAGTTTTACATATTGCCCTCAACAATCTGGGTCCTCATTTTATCAACCTTGAAGGACAACTAAGTGCAAACATTGCAGTTCAAGAAAAAGATTGGGCAGCCATTTATCGAGTATGGTGTAAGGTCTCTTGCCTTGGGCATGAGGTTGGATCAGAAGACCTCCAATGTTCCTTCTGACCCTATGATGCTGTAATTCTAAGATCTGAAACAAATGTAATTAAGCAGCATGCTGCAAAGGTGAATAGGATATTAGAAATAATCAGGGGATTAAAAAGAGAAAGTTGTGGGTTAGAGTTAGGTGAAATACTTATTTTCCTAACATCCAAACTTTAATATTGTAGTAATAGTATATTATAATATTGTAATAATAACCAGATTCCTGGAGGCTGTGAGGATCTGGATGGGCAAAACAGGTTTCAGCTGGCAAGCCTGGCAAGACTCAATAGCTTTGGGTTTGGGGGCCTACTGGTTATAGGACATTAACATCTTTTGTGCTGGGTGGCACTGCCCCAGACAGACCTAGGACACAATCTGGGCATCCTGACTTCAACAACTCCTATTTGAAGAGCAGATGGCAGTTGTGGCTAGGAGGCCGTTTGTACAGCTTCAGATAGTGTCTCAGCTATACCTATTCCTAGATTAGGGTGGGGCTCTGCTCATAGTCACACATGCCCTAGTCACTTTCTGATTGGACTACTGTATCACATTGTACATAGGGCTGCCTTTGGAGAGTATCCGGGAGCTTCAGCTGGCACAAAATGAGATGGCATAGACAGTTTACCATGCATCTAGAATAGAGGTGTCAAACTCAAAGCTCGTGGGCCGGATCTGGCCCACGGGGTGCTTAAATCTGGCCCACGGGGCCGGCCTGGAAATAGCAAAGGACTAGCCTACGGTGCCTCTGGCAGCCAAAACAGGGCACAGGGGGCCATGCACAGCCCTGCCATGCCTGTTTTTGGCATGGACGGCCTTGTTTTTAGTCTGGACGGCACCTCCGTTTTGGCCAGCAAAGTGCTGCAGGAGGCATCCATCCCATCTCCTCCCACTCCCCACCCCCAGCTGGCCTGTGGAGAACTACAATGCTGATCCCACCCTCAAAGAAATCCAGCTTGACATCCCTGCTCTAAAACAATGCATGATACATCCAGTGGTGGAATTCAAATTTTTTTACTACTGGTTCTGTAGGCGTGGCTTGGTGGGCGTGGCTTGGTGAGTGTGGCTTGGTGGGCGTGGCTTGGTGGGTGTGGCAGGGGAAGGATACTGGAGGGGATACTTGGAGGCCCAAGGGGCCAACAAGATACTGAAGCAGCTCCATTGTTATTAACATCTGCTATTCTCTCTTAGCTTTTGTAATTTTTAAAGTTGTTTTTAATTTTTTAATAATCATTGATTAACTGCTATTAACAGTTATTAACTGTTTTAATAGTTCTGTTGTACACCACTCAGAGTCACTTTTATGTGAGAAGGATGACTATATAAATATTAATACATTCAGTAAATAAATAATTGTTCTTCTGTAATAAAGTGATGAGTAAAATGCAATTCTGCTTTTTTTCCTGAATACCATCCAGAAATGAACCTGTGTCCTCCCATCACCTTTGATAATCCATTATGCTTAAGGGGAATGGGGGATAGATTTTCAAAAGTGAGATCATACATGCTAATTCATAAGTATGTTGTATAATGTTAAAACCTGAGACAAAGAGCAGCTTTTGTATTTACAGTCTTTTGTCCTTTTGGTATCCTCCCTGTATGCTTTGTTCTTGTTCTAAAAAATTAAAAAGATGCTATTTTCCAACATAGATTAATTTAAAGATTGGTAGCATTTGGCTAGATCACTAGAGAACAATGAGTTTCCTGCTCCAGTTTTAAATGATCAGAACATTCTGCAATGATTAACTAATGAGCTGACTAAACAATGTTTATACTGTAAATACTAGCAGCATTTTACAGCAAGGCAAAGAAATGGCTGAAACTCTTCATTCTGTTTCCTCCGAGTTTCCAATCAGCAGTTTGATCCCTTGCTATCCCTTGATCCCTTATAAAACATTTATTACTCTCCTTTGGCTTCTTGTCTATTGCAGACAACTTTTAAAAAGCCTTCATTCCAGGGGTAGGATTCTACCAGTTCAGACAGGTTCGGGCGAACCGGTAGCTCTGACGATCAGCTGGGAGTGAACCGATTCGCTCCGACGATCAGCTGGGCTTGCCCCTGCACTTTACTTACCTTTATTTCCTTTGTTTGAAGCCCAGCTGATCGGCATGGCAGAGCGGATTGCCTCGCCTCAGCTGTTTTACTCACTGGGGCTGCAGTAGAAGGTAAGTTTTATCGCTTAATTCAAACATACTGAATGTGCATGCGAAACAGTTGTTTCATGGGTTGAATCCCACCACTGCTTCATTCGCCCCATAGTCAATCCATTTCCCCTACTGCCTTCATTCACCAAAGCCAGAAAAAAACTATAAGAACAGTGGCTCGTCTGTGATGCTGGTTGTATGGAGTGAAATCATACGTGCCAATTCATAAGTATGTTGTAAAATGTTAAAATCTGAGAGCAGGTTTTCTGTTCATATCTTATCCACCTGTAAGTTTTTTTTGAAAAAAATTCAAGAGATGCCATTTTCTCACTTAGAATAATTCAAAGTTTGGTAGCATTTGACTTCACAATTATTTTTTTAATAAGAGTGAATCATATCATATGACAGAACCCTACTTTAAAAAATTCTTGCAATTCTATATATTGCTACCGTATGTATGAATGATATGCCATATGCTAAATAAATAAATACATTTCTATATGACGGTAAAAAAAAAATGTAGATTAGTGTTTTCCAACTGGTAACACTAAGTAATTAGAAGTCTGAATTTCAACTCCCAGAAATCTCTAGCCAGCATGATGACAGTGGAATTCTGGGTATTGAAGTCCATACAACTTCTAGCTGCCAAGGCTGAGAAGTAGTGATGTAGATAATCAAAATACTAAAACTGAATCTAGCGAGATAAGAGTTTTGTAGAGTCTTCTCAGTTTAGAAAGAAAATAGAAGGAATAAATCCAGGAGTTTCTGATTCATAGATGAACTAGCATATTGCCTAGAGTGCAGGCTTCTTCATTGAAGATAAAAAAACCCAGTTTGGTAGCTGTAACCATGTGATTGAAGCCCTACATCATTTAAAGTGTGGCCTGCACATGGTATACATTTTAAAAGGGCAGGGCCATGATCATGCAATCACAGGTGCCAACATACTAACAATCACAGATGCTAACATACTTTTTTCCCCATGGTCAATTCTATTGGAATAATATTTTTTTATTATTAATGGAATTTGGTTCACCTACGATATCAATTCCTAGTGGTTTGTTTACAGTTGTTAATGTATTAGTCTAAAGCTACAAAATGTTTTTTTTTAAATCTTCACAACAGATGGTATTTAATTCCATCAAATAATATATAAACTAGACAAAGCACACATAAATGTTGGAAATGTCATGAAACAGAACCTTCTATTACATGTTGTGGGCATGTAAAAAAAACAACCCATACATTAAGCAAGCAGTTGTATTCAGGGTATTGTGGGAAGCTTGATCCTTTTCAAGATTCTGGTTGCCATCCATAAAAACCTTTCATGGCACAGGCCTGGTTATTTGAGGAACTACCTATCTTCAATTGTTTCTCCTCACCTGATACATTCAGGTACCTTCTGGGTGTGCTTCAGATCCCTTTGATTAAATTCTGCCATCTTGTGGGGCTGAAGAAACTTGCCTTCTTTCTGGTGGTCCCTGACCTCTGGATCAACTATACTCCAGAGATACAGACAGCACTCTCTGTCCTTGAGTTCCAGTTCCAGGCAAGGGGTTAATATGACTGTGATTTACTTATTTCTTCATTTTTATCCCATAATTATTACTTTTTTAAATAATTCAGCAAAAATATCTAACACTCTTTCCTCCTTCAATTTTTCCCATAACAATATCCTGTGAGGTAGATTGGGCTGAAAGAGAGTGACTGGCCCAAAGTCATCCAGCCAGGTCACAGTTTCTTTAATCTTAGTTTTAACCACCACACCAAACTGACTTTTTTTTTTAAATTTTATTGGTTGGATCCCTTTTGTATTTTTGTATTATTTGTTGCTCAAGGATTAGTCCTGCTAGTTTAGGTTTTTACTATTTACTATTCTTTTTTAAGCTAGCCAAAGCCATAACAAATCTAAATTAAATTCTTCTGGCTCATCTCATTTTTCCCTGTGTTAACTTCCAAGTGGATTTTATTCCATTACTGCAGGAATTTGCATTTTTAAAAATAAATCCATACATTTTTGTGTTTACATACTTAGTTTAGACCAGTGGTGGGTTGCTACCAGTTCGCCCTGGTTCGGGCGAATCGGTAGCAGCAGCAGCGGTAGGCTCTGCCCGCCCATTCGGACATCATCAAATACACTCTGCACATGCGCAGAAGCTTCTACGCATGTGCAGAAGTGGCACATGTGCAAGCAAACCAGTAGCAAAGGTAAGTGAAACCTACCACTGGTTTAGACACATTTGTTTGAATGGAAGCTCTCACAATATGGATTTTTAATATTCTTTCTGATCATACAGTACTACATCCTTCTTCTAAGCATCTCTCATTCTATCCTAAAATATTCATCTCAACATATTTTGGCAGAACTTCTCTTTTTTTCGCTGAAAGCTGCACTGTAAAATGTGAAGTCTGAAATCCTAAAGAGAATTGATAGATCAACATTAAATCCCATTAAATCTAACTTCTACTTAATAGCCTAGTAGTCCCAAATGGGGAGCCAGTCTCCGGTCTGTTGGACCCAATATTTGATGAGTTTCGTTTGGTTTTTAAAAACATGTGCTATAGAAACTTGTGTTATGGGCAGCTAGTAATCTTGCCTGACACAATTGCACTCGGGAAGAAAATAGCATGAACCTTATCATATTTTACTGAGTAGTTCTCAACAAAGCTAAATTCAGAAGATATTTAATGGGTACCTATTTCTTTCTCCATATTCAATCTATCTATTTCACTTGTTTTTCAAAAGCCTACCTACTAATATTAGCTGTTGGATTTTCAAAATTTCCAGCTGTTAGGTTATAAACAAGTATCTCCAAATTTAAACTGGTTTGAAGATGGAATGTCCCTGGTTAGTTGAAGAAAAACAGCACAGAGCAAATTTCTGGCCTGCTTTAACGACCTATGTAATTTGTATTTTATACTCAAGGTCACTCTGTATGACAAAAAGTATTGTACCAATTGTTTATGTTGATATCCAGGTTAACAGTTGTCATATAAGAACAGAGGAGATTTGAAATAATTCCTACTTTAAAGTATTTAATAATGGTTTCTTTTGGAGTAGATTTTAATTGCAGACTTTATTTATAATGGGGGAAATGCATTATAAATAAAACGTATTGATTTCCTACTCTTACTCTGCAATAAAAATAATTTCAGGACTGAGTTTACAGAACAGCACATCAGGACTTGCTAAGAGTTATAGTTGAATATAGTATAATAGCTGAGCCTTCGGGGGATGATGGTTCAGCGGTTAAAGATGCTGAGCTTGTCACCTCGAGGGCTGACAGCATAGGTTTGAGACCCAGACTCCATGCAACAGAGTGAGCTCCTGTTACTTGCCCCAATTCCTGCCCACCTAGCAGATTGAAAGAATGCAAATGCAAGTAGATTAATAGGCACCACTTTGGTGGGAAGGTAATGGTATTCCATGCACGTATGACATATAGCCATGCTGGCCATATTACCACGAAAATTGTCTTTGGACAGTGCTGGCTCCCTTGGCCAAGAAACAGAGATGAGCTCCTTGCCTTAGAATGAGACATGACTGATAGGGAAACTTTTAGCTTTATAGTCGAGATAGTCCACTAAACTAACAGTGCAAAGATTTCCATTATGTTCTGAACATCAAGTAGAACAACTTTAAGAGAATACCTAATTTCTATGTCTTCCAGATGACACCCCCCACATACACTGTCACTGCCACCACTGGTGTCAGTAGATAAAACACTGAACAAGGATATTTAGAATGAAACCTTGCAAAGACTATTAAATACAATTGTCTCAGCTGGATGCTAAATAGGAACAAATGGATCCCTCAGACCAAGGAATGTGAATCTGTTAAGACTTGAGAATCACTCATCACTCACACCTCTGAAACTAGTGGGCTACAAAGCAGAGTCTATCTGCAGGTGGACAAGTCTCATACCAAATACATTCTTGCAAGTATATCATCTCTACACTGCTTAGGTTTGTCTTCCAGATGACAGGTAAGGAGTAAAAATGAACTTGGAAGGCTGGCTGCACAAAACACATCTCTGAAAATAGCTGTATCTTATAAAAGTAGAGAATTTCTTACCTATCTGTTGACCACAGCAGCATAGGAACATGAGCCAAGGATAGGGTCTCTTTGCATAGGACAAGAAATACATAGAGTAGCTGTCCCCATGAAACAGCACTGCACCTTGCCATAGTCTTTTCACGGTTTGTGGTAAGGAAACCAAACGAGATTCAGAAGGAAAATAAATGATAGGAACTGGTTATATTGGTATTTGTTATGAAGCTTCTGGCTTTGGCCAGTTTTTATTTATGATAGCTGGAGTAGGTCTATTTTATGACAACAGGAAAAAGAATCCATACCCAAACAGAGTGCAAACTTTGACATAGCTTTGAAGATGAGACTCTCTCTACTAGCAGTTCTAGTTTAGGACCAGATAAATTGTGTTCACCTAGCAATAGAATTATCTGACGCACATATACTACAAGATGTCCTTCTTTTGTTCTTATGGTGCAACTATATCCATATATATTACAATACAATTGCTGCTCCTGGAGATACCCATCAATGAATGGAGCCTGGTATCTACTGTGTTTATATGCAATTTGTATATTATTACACCACATTATAATAACTGAAGAGATGGAGTGTCAGATATATACCCTGTTTCAGGGGTGGGTTATACTTACCTTTACTACCGGTTCTCATCGCGGCCATATGCGCGCTCTTCTACGTGCTCTTCTGCGCATGTGCAGAAGCTTCCCCTATGATGACATCTGGGTCAGTGGGAAGAGCCTCTTGCCAGTTTTACTACTGGTTCTTGTGAACCGGTCGGAAACGGTGGGAACTCACCACTACCCTGTTTCCCCCCAAATAAGACATCTCCTGATAATAAGCCCAATCAGGCTTTTGAGCGCATGGCAATAAGGCCAAGTGCTTATTTCAGGGTTCAAAAAAATATAAGAAAGGGTCTTATTTTCGGGAAAACATGGTAGTTGTTAGAATAGCAATGGTGGTAGTGGTAGTAGTATCAAGTCATGGTGCCAAATTAGGTTATTTCTTTTAAAAAATCCAATAATTATGTACCCAAATAAGTAAGAATTCAATTTTAAGAAGAAAGTAGGAGATTCACAGCATCATAGATATATCTGTAGAAGATAGCTGTTAAAATATCAAACATGTTCTTGCATTTTCCTGCATAAAATCCATTTTCCATTTAATTTGTAAGAAAAATCTTTCTTTAGAAATGAATGTTTAGTTAGTTCCAGCCTTTCCGGGCAAAAGAATTTTATGTCTAGACTTTCCCTTCTACTTTGTTTCCAAACTAGGTGGCTCAGTGGATAAGATACTGAGCTTGTTGATCAGAAAGGTCGGCAGCTCGGCGGTTCGAATCCCTAGTACAGGTCTACTGCGTGAGTAGGGGGTTGGACTAGATGACCTCCAAGGTCCCTTCCAACTCTATTACTGTTAAATAGCATCAATATGTTCTGACCCAGCTCCGGATTCCCGAGGATATAGACACACACCAACGGTCCTTATCAAATTTATTAAGTAGCAAGAATAAACCAAAGTCTGGCAAAGGTTGGCAACCAGTCCAGAAAACAAGATACGATAAGACTTTTCCAAAAATGCTCTGTTGATAATTACAAGTTGTTTCTAGCAAGAAACTTACTAACGGCGTGTGACTTAAATAGGCTAAGGGAGTGGCCAATTATCCTCAAACCTTACTCTCGAGGAGACCTCCTCCTCCTGCCTTTTGGCAGCCCTGCGTGCTCGAGCATTGAGAGTCTCCTCCACTTCGCTCTCTCCACTTGAAGGACCCTCTGGAGGTTCTGAAGGCCCTGGCTGAGTCTCTGCCTCTGGCACCACATCCTCTTCAGCTTCCTCGCTGTCCATGCTATGCACTTACAAGCCATAGGTTAGATAAGACAGACTTAGTGCTATATAATATCTCCAGGTTGATTAAAAAAAACTATTATCCCAATAAAATCTGTCCTCGTACTTCTTTTATTCCACTTTATATGATACATGATCTGAGCAGGCTCCCTCTTCTATTATAATTGTCTCTTGCTAAATCACCCAAAGTACTATTTACTGGCCATAAAGAGAGTATAGTTCAGAAATGTTCCTGATAAAACTCTATGTGTTCTTCCCAACTCAGAAAAGCTTGTCAAGCATATGAGGTTATGCTCTGTAAACTAAAATCATCACAAGGTTGATCCACCTTTATTGCTGTAAAGGTGATTGGATATTCTCTATCCAACCAAAATCAATTAATTTTTTAAAAATTACACTTGTCTTATTTCTACTGTTTTTGAATTACTTCTGAATCCTTCACTTTGGTTCTCCTCCACACATTTCCCATATATGATTAAACATTTCTTGCGGTTGAAGAGTTGCAACTGTAGAGCTTCTATGCAAATGGAAGAGGAAAAAGAAATCAAACAAACTTTATAGATGCCTCTCCAAATCTGTGGTCCTATGAATCAAAGTCCTCTAGGTCACTGCCCCATGCAGAGTTATTCTGTGTGAATGTGGCATCTACTTCTATTCAGATGATGTTTTGATCTATAAAAAGGAGAAGGACAGGATCTATGCATGGAAGAATATTTTTTATTTCAACATAGGAGTGGTTGGTTCAGAGCAGAGTTGTGGCCTAGAGGTGAAGGCACTCACCTCACATTCGGAAGGTTGAGAGTTCAATCCTAGGCAGTGACAGATGTTTCTCTATCAGGGCGCAAAGAGAAAATATCTGCTGCAAACTCCATGTAGGTATCAGGAAGGGCATCTGGCCAGTAAATGGTCAGCTTCATTCAGTCACCCTGACTCCACTCTAATAAAAGGGAGCACTGGGTGGAAAAAAAGAAAAAAAAGGAACAGTGGGTGATTGGCTCAATTCTTTGAGGGATTTCTTTTGTTTTCTACATTTTCTGTCGGGTTTAACTTCAGTATTTCCCAATTATTTCCTTTTAACTGCAGAATTCCTTCACTGCATATGTACTTATCATTATTGGTGCCTAGGCTCAGCTCAGCTGCTTGACTCAGGAAGCTTGAATTTGATTTCTATCTTGAATTGGATGCTGTGAATTGCAGTGATGCACATATGATTACTGTGAGAATATAATCTGTTGAGATTATGTAGGGAACATATTGGTAAAATAATATTTGGAATGACTGTACTGTTTAGTGGGAAATGAATTACAAGCACAAGCAATCCATCTTTAAGTGGGTCATCCCATTTTCAGTTGGGCTTTCACTTGGGAATGATACTAAAAAATAAAGAGTTTAGCTCACTTCCTGGTATCTACAAGAATGTAACAGAATATTTGTAGCTCAGGGTTGAAATGAGGGGTACTTGGTGCTTTTCTAGTTGTTTTTATGCAGACATTTCATTATCCAAACTAAGTTAACATCATTAATGCTAGTAAGGACTAGCAAATCCTACTCCTTACTGGCACTGATGTTACCTAGTTTGGATAATGAAATGTCTGCATAAAAAACAACTAGGAGAGTAAAAGTAACACTAACAGAGTTAGAAGGGATCTTGGAGGCTGCACTGGCTCCCGGTGGTCTTCCAGGTGCGATTCAAGGTGTTGGTCACCACCTTTAAAGCGCTCCATGGCTTAGGACCGGGATATATATGAGACCGCTTTCTGCCAGCAACAGCCTCCCACCGGCCAATATGCTCCCACAGAGAGGGGCTCTTCAGGGTGCCGTCGGCCAAACAATTCTGACTGGCGACACCCAGGGAGAGAGCCTTCTCTGTGGGTGCACCAGCCCTCTGGAATGAGCTGCCCCTTGAGATTCGCCTCATCCCCGACCTGCGTACCTTTTGCCGCGCCTTGAAGACCCTTTGTTCCAACAAGCCAGCCTGGCCTAATACAAATTTTAGAATGGGTGTATGTGTGGTTTAATCTATGGGCCAAATTTTTATATATTCAATTTTAAATTGTTTTAAATTTTGTATATTTATATGTGTTTTAATATGGCTGTACACCGCCCTGAGTCCTTCGGGAGAACGGCGGTATAGAAATCTAATAAACATAAATATAAACATAAATAGGTCATCTAGGCCAAGCCCCTGCTCGTGTAAAAGCACCAAGTCCAACCATGTACCTAATATAAAATTGGTTTACCATTCTTCTCACACTTCCCCCTCCCCCTCCTCAGCTCCTCAGTCTGCAAATTACTGATATTATCTTCTGCAAATAGTAATCAGGTCTGACTCTGTTTAGCTTTTTGAGGTGTTAGTTAGGTGGGGCAGCCTGCTGTGACAAGAGTCTCAGAATTAATTGCCAGAATTTTGTTTTTCCAGAGTTGGCAACTTTAATCACAACTTTCAGAATTGAAGTGCATTACATGAAAAAGGAAATTATTTTGCAGATCCTTTTTTGGATACTGTATATTCTCCAGCTGTGTTTACATTCCTAATGTAAATTATTTTGACTGCAAATGCTTGTTGACATAAAATTCATGTGATACAATGTCAAAATTATTTTAAATTTGGATAATAAAGGTGTTGCTGTAAAAATTGATGATTTATGGATATTTTTGCTTTTGAAAAGAAGATGTATAATATAAAATATAGCTGGCATATTAAGAGACCAGATTTTATGGCAACATTAAATAGATTTTGAAATATACTTTTAAGTGATTATATCCACATTTAGATTTCAATTTTCATAGTTCTAAAATGAAAGTCTAAATAATGCAGAACATTTGTACTTAACCAATTATTTCTTTTATACCCATATTTGATAAATGAAAGTCCTCATTAAGCAGATGCTACGCTGTATTTTATGCTAAGAAGTGAATGCAAAAACAGAGTAAGCACTTGTTTTGAGGTTTTTGTGCTAAAGCATCCAGGTCTGTACTGAATATTTGGCAATTAAAATGCTGCCAAATTGTTTCTCAGCTAAATGCATTTTTTCCAGTCAGAGTCATAAACACCCATGCTAAGACCAATACATTGGATAAAAACGATGCATTCAAATGGTGATATTAGAACAGGGTCACGTCTCCATTTATATAGTACACCTGGGAAGTTCAATAGAAGTCCCATAAAAGCAGTTATTAGCTTTTGAGAAAGGTGTATATGTATTATGAAAAACACTCACATTCCTATTGAAAACATTGCTGATTTGACATTGCAAATATATAGCAGCTCTTCCAAGTCCCTTCTCATTCTGAATAAGGCAGGGAGAACCTGCTATAGTGTGTGACTGTTCATTTAACTGTAAATGGATTATAATGCTCATTTTAACTTACATTGAAAGAAATAAAAAATAATAAAACTGGTAACATCCAAAGAGAATCCAGTAAATCATCTAAAGAATATTTTGGCAATATATACTTTATATATTGCCAAAATATAGTTCTCTCTTCATTCCAGTCAATATGTAAGTTGTATTTCAAAACCTTACATTGTTGACATATAAATACTTCACTTCAAGTACTCATTACAGTGATTTTTCTGTTAAATCTTACAAAAAGCAAAAGGCTATTTCTTAAATAGTCCAGGCTAAACACAATCATTCCTTTTCCTAGGAAAATCTTTAAAAGTTTAGTTAATTTAAGATGTACTTAGAAAAAGATAAATGCAACATGCAACCATAGCAAATTTATTAATCCAATGAATATCATGAATACTTTGTGCTATTTTTATTAATTTTCCATGGAAACCATTTTTGTTTTGCTTTCTTTCACAAAAGGTCTTTATTATTTATTATAAAATGGTTAGTGGACTTATAGTAACAGCAAACTTTTAGATCTGTTGGATGAAGATGTCAGTATAAAGTAATCCAGTCTTTTGTATGTAACCCAAACACCAGCAGAAGACTACATACATAAAAAGACTCTTTCTAAGTCAAGAATTTTATTCCTCTGAATTTATCACACAAGAATTGTTCTCAAGAGAACAACAGAGAAATGTAGTGTGCAAAGGCAGCCAACCAACATTTGTTAAAGTTCTTGTTCTATAATTTAAAATTTTGATACATATTAAGTAGATATCAGAGAAACAGGAAAAGATAATTAAGTTGCCCTCATGTTTGGTTGTGGTTGTAACTTGCCTCATGTATATTTCCCAAATGGTCCTAAAAGAGAGGAAGGCAAGATAATGCTTATGACACCAATGTGTTTGGACGCATCACTTAGCAGCCACCAGGGTACCTAACTCCTCTGATTATAATTGTTTACAGGTTCTTTTAAATAGAAAGCTGGCACACTGCAAAACAAAGTAATTGCCTCTACCTTAATATGATTTACAAGAATGACTCTGGATTCACATAGACCAGAGACATATTTAGGGGGCGGGGCGGGAGGAGGGGAGAGAATGGATTATTTGAGCCAGTGCTTTGTTTGCAACTCTGCCTGACGGTCCAGGAAAAAAAAAGAGAGAGAAGGTAAAAATAATTTTGAGGGAAGAGTGTGGGAAGGAATTTTACCATATTGCCGTCTGATGACAGAGGGTTTTATTGCTGATCCATCAAGAGAGTCACTTTGTGAGAACATTGATCAACATGCTCTCATTATTTGAAATGATGTTCTATCCCTGCCTAAATTGTTGATACTGATGAATCCTTATTGGTATCATAAATATAAACACCTCTGAGGGAAACTTTAAAGGCAGGTTGTACTTGGCAAAACCTTAGCTTTCAAGGAAAAACACCATCAGCTAGTTTTGCTGGATATAGGCAGTGTCTGTGCACTTTTCTAAAATAGCAGTGATCTTTTCCTGCAATGAATTTGAAAAACATTTTCCAAATAAATCATGATGACTGATATCTAAACACAATGTTATGATACTTTGTGTAATTGCTGGTAATATTTATGGTGCTTATACAACTGAATAAATTTAATACCTCCTTGCAATTGTCCACATTCTACTCTAATGCTTCCAGCAATTAAAAATTGATCTATTATGTAATATGTATAAATTGGGTTACCGAAGAACCAAGGTATTAGTCTATGTTCATAGTAGTACAGAAATATTATGAAAGCCACACAAAATAGTTATAAATCTTTAAGATGTCTTTAACCATGGCTGTTTGACTTCTATTTGAATTTACTCTCTAAGATGTTGATGACTAGCATATAGAGAGTAAAGGTCAGAAAAAATGAATAACCTCTGACATCCTTTTTCATTGTTGCCTCAATAAATTGTATTATATCTAACCTGCTGTGATACAATAAAAAAGAGATAGTGCTGGCAGTAAGAAAATATATATATATTAAATTTAAGAAATCAAGGTCTTTAATATATACCAAGTCTCATATGCAGGCATTCTTGAAAACAAAACAGCTGCTCTCTATTTTAAAATTGTCTTTTAAAGTTGTTACTTAAGACTTGGCTAGGCTACCAAAATATTCTTTCTTTAACAAGGAAAAATGACAAAGCAGACAATATATCCTTCCAAAAGCATATTGTATACCAGAGGTATATGTGAAGGAAGCAAGTGCAGTGTTAACAATAATGGATTGGAAATGAAGTTCTAAGATGACGTTTGGGCAATGTAATTTAAAGAAAAACCCAGGGCATGCAAATAAACATTCTTTAAGCTCATGATCAGGCCAATTTTCCAAGCAATGTTCTCTTCTTTTAAGAGAACTGTTCTAAACTTCTCTTTAAGTGTTACTTTGATGAAGCAGTTGTTACAGACTTCGTTACTAAAATATCTTCTGTGTTAGTTTGCTTGTCACTTTTATGAAGAGCAGCTGCCAGCTCTGGGAACTGAGAGAAATAGTTCCTTGCAAGCATTTGTTTGTGCCTTACTCTGTGAATGAACACCTTTTCATAAGCCTGAAAGAAAGAAAAAATAGAAAATGTTTTGATTGGTTATATATTGCCATAACAGGTCCTTAAATTATGAGTGGCATTAATTTTTAAATTTAAAAAACTAATAATTATTTTGTGTTTTAAAAAAGACAACTCTTAGGTTGATTAGCTCAGAGATGCAATGCCATTTACAGTGAACTACTATAAATGTCAACAAATAGGTATAAGTTATTAGGGTGTGATTCATTCCTGCTCAGCTTTTTCAAATGATTGATTTGGAATCCCAAAGTTGCTGTTCAAAAAGCAACTGGACTTGGGGTTTTTTTTCCTTGAAAACATCTCACTTCTCATCCAAGAAGCTTCTTTCGTTCTCCAGAACTGAAGCAGCTTTTGGGATGAGAAATGAAACATTTTTTAAATGTTTTCAGTTCAGTTCTCCAGAACTGAACAAGCTTCTTGCATGAGAATTATATAAGATGATAACAAGCTCTATCTGGGCCAATCTAATCATGCTTTCAGTGTCTGAGGCTGCATGGGCTACACTGGGAGGAACAGACTAAGCCTCAATCTTGACAAGATCAAGTGGCTGCAGATATTTGGGTCTCTGGGTCTAGGGATTATCCATTTTTGGCCCTGGATAGAGTTGCCCTTCCCTGTTAAAAACTGTTATACAATCTGAGGGCTGTCTTGGATTCACAGCTCCTACTTGAAGAATAGGTAACAGGTATGGTCATAGGAGCCTTTGTACAAATACATCTAGTGTGCCACTGTTTCCTGGACCCGGAAAATTACAGACAGTTTCTCCTTAGTCATTTCATTAATGGATTACTATATAGTACCTTACATGGGGCCACATTGAAGACAACTCAGGACATACAGTTAGTCCTGGATGCAGCAGGCAGGCAATGATGGGCATTTCTTTTATGCCCTTGTGACCCCACAGTTTTGGGAACTGTTCTGGTTACTAGTTGGCTTTAGGATATGATTCAATATGTTGTTTTTCCTCTACAAAACCCTTCATAATATAAAGGTAAAGGTTCCCCTCACACATATGTGCTAGTCGTTCCCAACTCTGGGGGTGGTGCTCATCTCCGTTTCAAAACCGAAGAGCCAGAACTGTCCGAAGATGTCTCCGTGGTCATGTGGCCAGCATGACTAAATGCCAAAGGTGCACGGAACACTGTTACCTTCCCACCAAAGGTGGTCCCTATTTTTCTACTTGCATTTTTTACGTGCTTTCGAAATTCTAGGTTGGCAGAAGCTGGGACAAGTAACGGGAGCTCACTCTGTTACACAGCACTCGGGATTCGAACCGCTGAACTGCCGACCTTTCGATCGACAAGCTCAGCATCTTAGCCACTGAACCACCGTGTCCCCTATATTCATAATATAGAGTCTTGTTATTTGTGAGGTTTATCTGCCTTGGGTTCTTTCTGTTCAGTGAGACTAGGCAGAGTAGCTGCCAGTTGGGTCCCATCAATTAAGCATGTCATTTAGTAGGACTCTGGAGGTATGACTTCTCTATCGCAAAGTCTGTCCTCTGAAATAACATTCCTAGAAATTCAGATGGTTTCCTTCCTGAGGAGGCTATTAAAGACCTGACTATTCTCCCAGGCCTGGGGGATGGAGGTGATAGTTTAGTCCCTGGTGGATAGGTTGTTTTTCCTTTGTTTATAAATAGAGTTGCCAGGTCTGCTTCCCCAAAAATAGCAGACAAGCGGGGGAGGGGGGGTTAAGTAGTAAAAAAAATTTTTTTACAATTAAATTATATATTTTCTTACAAACATTTTAACACGTATTAAAATAATCACTTCAAAACTTTACTTAAAATTCAAAACATCAAATATATTATAATAATATGTAAAATATTAAATTACATTTTACTTTGTTGTCGTGTGTATTTTTTATTTGAGCAGCTTTGATCAATTCTTTGTGTTTAAGGAATAATTCTTTAATTTCAGTATAATGTTGAGAAATATTAAAAAATATACAAAGTTCACTTCGAACTGATACAACCAGTCGGTTACGTTCGTCAGTCTACAAATTTCCCATGACACTGAAAATTCGTTCAACGTTTGCATTTGATACCAGAATTGATGCACAATACTGGAACAGTTTCAGTAAACTTGGAGCTGGCTCTTTCTTGAAAAAGTATGTCCACTTATCAAGGGATGAATCGCCCTGCAGATGAACATAAACTTCTTCTAAGGCAGAAATTTCATCGAAGAGAGTGTTGGGTGGAAATTCTTCTCGCCATGGTGATAATAACCAGATGTTTGTTATTTCTTCTAAAGTTGGAGGATTATTGCGATCAATTAGATTGAAACAATTTAGCGTCTCATAAACTGAATCGGTGAAATTATACCACTTTTCTAGGTACGCAATGGCTCTTTGATACACGTTGATGGCTTCTTTCTTGAACTTTTCCACGGCATTCTCAGGCAAATGTTTTTTACATAAGGCAAATAAAACTTTCATTCCAAAAAACTGCTCATCGTATTTTTTTTGCAAAGAATCACGCAGCTTAAACATGATAATGTGAAGATCACATGCAAGAATTTTCTTGCTTTCCAGCTTCAGTAGGGTGTCTTGCATTATTGACATGAAGAAGTGCGTGAAATATAAATACAATTCTGAAATTGTTGGTTCATCGTCCTTTGCGAGTTCATTTTCCTGATCCGAAATAAGATTCCAGATAACCTAATGGCACTCATCAGATCCAAGAGAAATAAAATACGATTTTAGAGGTATCCAGTTTAAAAGAAGTCTTTCGACCGCTTTAAACAAACTTAACCAACGTGTTGGAACATGGTGCAAAACTTCATGGAATTCTGACTCACAAAACTCAAAAAATGATTTCAACTCTTTTCGTTTCTTCGCAGAATTCGAAAATTCGGCAAAAACCTTCAGCACTACATTTTTGATATCAAAAGATAACTGCTTTAATGCATTTTTGCACTGTTGTATAAAATGTGATTATTGCAATGAGCATTCGATCTTTGTCTCATTCTAACTTATGAAAAAAAAGACAAAACATGATTCTCCTATCCTTATTCTCTTAGACTGTACAGCTTTAGATTACGTACCATTTCATCATAAAGCTTTTGAATAAAAAAAATGTCCACTATTTTGTGAAAAAAAATAGTGACCATAATGTGACAAAAGTGGACTGTCTGCTCAAATAGTGGACACCTGGCAACTCTATATTATAAATCTGTCTTCAGACTAGTCATAGTTTCTTCTCTGATCCTTTTTTTGTATTATTCTCATTTTTAAATTGCAAGCCACCCAGAGTTGTTGCAAGTCTATTAAACTGTATTAATAAGTAAACCAACCAATTTATTTATTTCCCGATTTTTGCTCCTAAATGCAAAGCAATAAGCATGCAAAACACTCAAAAGCAGTCATAAACAACTTGATATAAATGTATATACATGCAGAGGCTTCTACAGGTAGTCCTTAATTTATAACCATTTGTTTACTGACTATTCAAAGTTAGCATGGCACTGAAAAAGGTGACTTACAACTGCTCCTTGCACTTAGGACCATTGCAGCATACCCACCATGGTCACATGATCAAAATTCAGACCCTTGGCAACCAGCATGTATTTACAATGATTAACGCATCCTGGGGTCATGTGATCGCCACCTGCGACTTTTCCAGCTAGCTTTTCACAAGCCAAGTCAATAGGGGAAGCCAGATTTGCTTAATGATTCACTGCATGGTAATATTTGCTTAACAACCATGGCAAAAAAGATTGTAAAATGGGGCACAATTTACCCCAACAATGGAAATTCTGGTCCCAATTGGGGTCTTAAGGCAAGAACTATTCCAGATTGGAACTGTATACATTCCAATCTGGAATACTTATCAAACAATCTGCATAACAAAACACAAATTCTATGCTATCTCTGTGCACCTTTTTAAAATTCAATCTGAAGGATTTAAATAGTACCATACCTGATGGGATTTCCCCCCCTTTACTGTATTGAATTTATTTATTTAATGTGTGTGGAGTGGCACATTTAAATCAATACCTTCTCAAGATCACTTAGTTTAAGATGAGCTTCGGCTTCATCATCTTTGAGAAGAATAGTGTTCCAGGGAGACCATTCTTGCCACTTATTCCACCTGACCATGACCAAATCATACAGATCATCCCAAGCACTAAGAGCTGACTGAGAACCCCAGAAATGTTCAACCATGTAGTGTAAGTCTTGCAGCTGCAATATAAAAACAAGAGGAAAAATTAATAAGAATTAATTTAAAAACTTACCACATTTACCACAATTTATAAAATTGTTGCTCTGAATGACTATTATTGCATGCCACACACACAGTCACTATATTTTAATTACAGATTGAAATGCTCTCAAGGAAACTATTTCTCCCCTCTCTTTCTTTCTGCAATGGCTGTGATAACACACAGTCAGTTTATTTATTCCAAAAGACACATTGCCTCAAATACAGGTTTTTAGAAGTTTATGGTAAGGTTTTTACACAGATGGCTATTTCTGCTTCCTCTCTTGACAGCTTGGGTGATTATCAACTTGCTGTTAGAACATTTTCTTGCTGCAAGCCACTTCCCAAATCCATGCTGTTAGTAAAGAATTAATGATCCGGAAATCACAAATAGAAATCGTACTTAATTAAATACAAAGTTTATAATATTCTACTACTACTGAATTCCTATCTTTTTTGCAAATATATTAAAAGTTTGAATTTCCAGGTTGGAACTCAGCAATTTTATATCTAAAATGACATAATCCATATAAGCAATATTAGTATAGCTTAAATAATGTGGCATTATACTACAGTGTATTTAAAGTATATAAATAGCTGGCAAGTCACACTGGATTTAAAATTATAAGTAAATAAATATGATGATTCATGATGTATATTTTAATTATAGGATTTTATTAATCATCATGAGAAAATGTATCGCAAATTAGATAATGATATTACATACTGTAGTTATATAGTTTGGCAACTATGAAATATCCTAACATACAGCATAAGGTTGCCTTGAACTTCAATTATATTCATGAATGTTATGATAAGGTATCTAGAGAATAAATATAGCCACATGATTTGAGCAAAATTGTATCTTAATTTATCTGCATAGGTTCAATCCAGGGACATAAATCATTGCTCCAGCAATGTACTTATAAAGACAAGTATTATTACTGGCAGATTTCCATTAATGTATAAGAGAAATTTGTTATTAAGAATATTCTTTGGATGCAAATATATTTTGAATTGAATTTTATATAGACAAATTTTAGAGACATCTCAATACATTGAAACAAGACTCATCAATGCAAAACAGAATCTAAATTTTCCTTTCATAGTGATTCAATTTTCAAATGAAAACAAACTAAAAACAGATCAATTTTAGTCATAAGTCATAAATTTATTTGTCAAGCATATATAAGATAACAGGTAAAAGTATAAACATAATTTGAATATATGAAAAGAGTAAGTAAAAAGGAATATTAGGACAGGGACGATAGGCACGCTGGTGCACTTATGCACACCCTATTTTCTCCCCAAGTGTGAAGGAAAAGGTAAAGAGAGAAAAGATGTCATGTAAAAAGATGTGATTTATATCAAGATTCCCCAATCATAATACTTTGATTAAGGGGCATTGAATAATGTAAGACTATGTAAATATGCAGTGCATTTTGCTAGATGAGTTTTAAGTGGAAAATTCACTTGGGACCAATTCATTTCTGTTTTTAAAGTGAAATAAATAGGGCTCATTCATACACATTATAGTGCCTTCTAAAACAATGCATCTTTTAATAAGCAAACCTGGGAACATATTGCTATTTCTGGATATTAATAATTATTTTTTATTTTTTGCACTCAGATACAGATATCTTTTCCATGAAAATGAGATTCCCAAATAATACAATTTCCTTTTTGAATTCTACATCATTATTTTCAGAACAGGACATTATTTTCAACTAAAATGCAGCAACTTGCAATTCTGTTCATAACGGTGGATTAAATGTGTAATTACTGTTTAGTAATACAGTTTAATTCTGGAACTTCATCATCTAATCCAATTTGATGTTAAATTGTACTTAATATGTTTCAATTATTAAAGCTGTGTAGCAAATTTAAATTTGGTGAACATAGCTTATTATTTACTTTTTCATCCTAAAAATAAACAAAACCAAATATGCTTTAAATTCACTATGACTCAAAATATTCACAAATATTTATCTAGCATAAAGTTCATATTGCCTTGAGATTTAAATTAGGTAAAAAGCCATTTATGAAGAAGTTAAGATAATCTCTATAGAAAGTAGTGATATCAGCTCTCATGTAAACCAAGTGCAAGAGATTCTGGAACTACAAATGCTCCATCACCTTGAATTTCTTTATGTCCAGTAAAATTATAAGAGGCAAGATCCAGATTATTGTATTCAAACTATTTATTTAGTACTGTATTGACACAATAAAAATCCTATCAGTCTTCTAAACCTTTTTCTTTCATATATACGGTACTTTCTTTCTATATACTGCATACCTGAAGTATAAAGGCAATCTTAGCACCGTCGTTGTATTTCATTTCAGAGTCTCTGAGATTTCGAAGCATCCGTTTGTACTTCAAAAAGGCTTCCCTCTTACGAGCCTCATTATCCAGCTTGCAGCACTGACGACACCGGCCGATGGTGCAAGAACTAACAGATATGGCAAAGCTAGTAGAAGGTAGGTATTTTTTGCAACCCAGGCAAAAATAGATGTTGTGATAAAGCTTCATTGGATCAGCTGGCACCTGCAAGAATGCTATTATAAGTTTGTTTTTCTTTTCATAATGAATCATAAGCCTGGCCCAGAGGTTTCTAACATCATTGCTTTCAGTGGATGAAACTGAACTAAAAGAGAAGATGAGCTGAAGGGTTTTCAGAAGAGGAATTGATCTGGATGTGAAATGTGAAATGTTGTGAAGATAACATTGAACTGCACTGATAAAATCTGTAAAAACTACCCTTATACAAGAATTTGTGGTTATATTTGAGCACACACTAGGCTTCTGGATTGCAATGACTGAGACAAGCGTGTTATTATCAGTTAGATAGCTAATCCTTAGTATGTAATACTTCACATCTTCAAAATTCATCTTCATTAACCATAATTGCAATTTCAATTAGAAGTAACAAAAATAAATTGTAGAAGTATTACCAACCAAGTTGTAATGATCTACATTAACTGCTATCTCACTGTCAACCTTACAAATTAGTTGCTCTATGGATTCATTTACCCACCTTTCTTAAATTATGAAGTGTACCTCATCTCTCAAACAATTACTGTGATGTAGCACAACATAGTAAACCTAGTGATTAAGAACATACTTGAAAACTTTGGTATCTGTAGCTAAGTTTAAAAAATATATTCTTTATATCAAACACTTTGAAAGGAATGTAATTATCCATACAAGCCATAATAGTTTTGTTATACAGGTACTGAAAGTATTTAAATAGTCTATCTCTTTGCATATCAAATAGTCTAATTGCCATACTGATGCCCCATCAACTTTCTACTTCAGGTTTTACAGGTAGTCCTAGACTTACAGCCATTCATTTAGCAGCTGTTCAAAGTTACAATGGCACTGAAACAAAAAAAAATGACTTACTACTGATCTTCACACTTGTAACTGTTACAGCTTTCCGGTGGTCACATGATCAAAATTTGGACACTTAACCACTGACATATATTTACAATGATTGCAGAAACCCAGGTCATGTGATTGCCATTTGTGACCTTCCCAGCTGGCTTCCAATAAGCAAAGTCAATGGGGGAAGCCAGATTTGCTTAACAATTGCATGATTCATTTAACAGCTAGAGTGATTTGCTTAACTACCATGGGGAAAAAAGTCATAAAATTGGGCAAAACTCACTTAACAACCACCTTGCTTAGTAACATAAATTCTGGTTCCAAATTGTGATCATCAGTCGAGGACTACTGTACTTCTATGATAGCATCCATAGCCAATTCATGAATAAAATCAAAATGGACGTATTTCTCCATGTGTAAACTTCTTTAGTGTAGTGACATTTCCCCCACTCCCCCATCACTCTGCTCAACACCTAATTCCCACAACACTGTTTTAGGCTTAAATATATTTACCCTTGTAGTAGGTTGTACAGAAGACAACAGTATTGCTATTATCCTTCTTATCTTCTCATCTTTCCTACTATCTTCTTCTATTGGTATCTTATGATTTATCATTTTTTGTTTGTATCTTATGATTAATTATTGTAACTATGATTTATGATCTATGACCTATCACTTTGTTATATGGATGTACACTGAGAGTTTATGCACCAGAGACAAATTCCTTGTGTGTCACACTTAACCAATAAAGAATTCCATTCCATTCATTCCATTCTTCGGAAACTGCTTAAGAGATATGTGCTAGTATAGGATATTGGTGTGTGTATGTGTCAATTAAATAAGCAATTGTCTTTAAAACCATGAAGGAGGGAGATACCTGTATAGTTAAAATGCTCTGTTCAATTTTTCTCTACTGCATTTTCCAATGGCAGCAACTACCCAGCCCTCCAAGGCATTTTGAAGATACAACCAATGGTAGTACAATTGTCTTCACTGCTCTTGACTTTGGAATGGACACAAATGCCTCAAATCAATCAGTGCTCCCTTCAGGCAGCAATACAAATGCAAAAATTCTAATGAGTCTGTGCTCTGCTTCCAGATGAAGGACACTAATGCTGCGATGAATGGATAGCCATTCAAGGCTGGTTTTCCTCATCATGTTTGCAGGTTTCAGTGTCCAGTCCTTAGGAAGCTAAGGTGAAAGGTAGTGTCCTACTTGAACCCAGAAAAAATAAGATAAAATTTCAATGTATGCTGCTTTCATAAGCAAGGAAAATCAGGCCACCTATTTTTAAAGGTGTTCTGATATTGAGAAGAAACTGACTGAAGAGTTAAGGTTGCCACTGAAACCTACTAGCAAATTCAGGCAGAGATAAGGCAAATCTACTAGCAAGTTTCAGAGCCTGAGATGAAGCAAGTGTGGAATCTGAATGGAAAAGGGCTTGCCTCCAGGCTCATTTCAAATTGGAACTTTTGCTGCAATTTGACCTATGCTGCACCTAAATGAGGAGGAGATAAATTTCAGTACCTGGGGATAGCACTGTGGGAACAAAATGATCGTGTTCAGGCCAGATCAGCACAAATGTCATATGTGCAAGGGCTCTGGGTGTCATATTTACAATGTTTCCTGAAGAATCTACCTGTTTGCCATAGTGCAAATAAAACTACTCTCTAAAAACGAACACTGAGGAAATTATTTCAAAATTCATTTAGTTACAGGACAAATAGTGATTCCGTGTAGAGGGCTTTCTTCTTAAAGAAAGGAGGAAGAGCCATTCCCAGGGCAATAGTCTCACAGAAGGCTCCTAAACCTGGCCAAGAACGTAATGTGAGTAAATATCTTAGACAAGCCCCACCCCAATTTACATAAACATAGAGAGAGGGAGGGGAAAAGCACATTCTGACATAAGATTTTGCTACTATAGCTTTACAGTAAAAGTAGTACTGACCTACATGCATTGGTTTTCTAATCTGATCTACCTCAAAGTACTGACATTCTGTATAAAGGCAACCATCATCAGGATCAAACTCAATCCAAAAATTAGATGGGCTCCTATTATGAAGTTCAAACTTCCTGTTTTCCCAAGTATTTAAAAAAATGTTTCTACCCTTTCATTAGCTGATTTATAATTGCTTATTATGCTATTATTTTATTGTGAAATTTGTGTATGTTATTTATTTATTCACTTTATTGTTCTTTACTATAATGACATGTTAAATGTGTTTAATAACTACGCTGGGGTTAAGATGAATCTTTACTTTCATTAGCCTTCTTATAAGGCACTGCAATATTATAATCACAAGAACACATCAGGGAGAGAACTTAAAGAAATTGGGGAGGTGGGGAGTGTTTTGACTAACACAGAGAATAATGAGATCGGACTTTGATTTCACTGTTCACAATTCTAAAGCAAAGACGGGAAAGTTGTGGCCCAGTAGTGGTTACTGATTTACAACTCTCTTGCTATTGTCTGTGCTGGTTGGGGAGTCTGAAAGCAAAATTTGGAGCACTCTAATTCTTTAGCTTTGCTGTGCGTATTTATTTGCAAGTCCATTTTCTTCAAACATACTTATATGAGGCAAATGCCATGTTATATTAGCATTATTTAAATTGTATTCAACTATTCTTCTTTCCTGTCTACTAGGTTGCAGACAGCATCCTCTACCTGGCTGTCACAACTCATATCTGGCTTTCATGTCATTTTTTCATACAGAATATCCTCATCTATTGTCTTGTGTTTTGTATATGTATTTCTTAGTTAATCAATTGTACTCTACAACAATAATAATGAATAATTTGAGATACTTATTTAACTAGCATCATATTCTTGGCAATTTATAATATAATGAGCATGGTGACACAGTGGTTAGAATGCAGTATTACAGGCTAACTTTCCCGACTGCCAGAAGTTTGATTTTGACCAGCTCAAGGTTGATTCAGACTTCCATCCTTCCAAGGTTAGATTGTTAGGGGCAGTATGCTGACTCTGTAAACCATTTAGAGAGGACTATAAAACACTATGAAATGGTATATAAGTCTAAGTGCTATTACTATATAATAACATACAATAATACTGCATTATATATTAAAACATCTATAACAATATAACAATGCAATTAAATTGCATCTGGCATCAATGGATCCACAATATTTTCCCAAAGGCTTCAGAAATGCTAAGTCTTTGCCATTTTTTGGAAGACCATAAATGCAAGGCCATCCTTATCTTGGGGAGGTAAGCTGTTTCATAAAAGGGGAGCCGCTACAAAGAATCCTGAGATCCTTTCCCATCACATCTCCTAGTAGGAGAGGTACCATGAATATCTGCTTTCTGGCTCTCCAGACCAGATACATTATGCCCCAGGTAGGCATAATGTATCTGGGAAAGGAGATTTCTCCAAGCCCCGAGCCATATAGGGCTTTAAAGTTAGTGACCATTATGATGAATTGCACTCACAAACACACTGGTAACCAATGCAGTTCCTACAACATCCATGTAATTGTAACATGTAAGTATCAAGAATAGCCAGGAAAACTATGAGCCACTATACTGTGGACCAGCTGAAGCTTTAGGATAGTCTTCAAGGTCACTCTACAAGGAATATAGATGAGAGTTATCCATCAATTGGACAGCTAATGGACTATTTAAACAGAAAAGGAATTTCACTTAACTCCACATTGCGTTACATATAACAGAGGCGGAAAATACCTTGAGAAGTCGTGCAACCTCTGGATTGAAAAGTGGTGTTTTAATATACTGAAGAAATAATGTACAGATTCTTTGCCGAAGTCCTTGTAAATTACATTCTTTCACTGCCCTCATCATGAGGTCTGCTTCTCTATCAATTAATTCCACTATTTCTTGTGTGAGTATACATTCATGTTCCTGAAAAAATAAACAAAGTGATTAGCAAACCATAAGCAGACAGTTCCTTATACTGACTGTAATTCTTAATATGGGTTGCCAGTTATAATAGTTTACAGGCTGCAGGGCATCTAAAGTATTCAGAGAATGGCTCTGAAAACAACAACTGAGAATGGGTCAACAAACAGTCAAAATGTCAGATACTGTTCAACATTTCAGAAACCCTTTGCTTTTAGGTAAAGGTAAAGGTTCCCCTCGCACATATGTGCTAGTCATTCCCGACTCTAGGGGGCAGTGCTCATCTCTGTTTCAAAGCCGAACAGCCAGTGCTGTCCGAAGACGTCTCCGTGGTCATGTGGCCAGCATGGCTAAACGCCAAAGGCACACGGGACACTGTTACCTTCCCACCAAAGGTGGTCCCTATTTTTCTACTTGCATTTTTTACGTGCTTTCGAACTGCTAGGTTGGCAGAAGCTGGGACAAGTAATGGGAGCTCACCCCGTTACGCGGCACTAGGGATTCGAACAACTGAACTGCCGACTTTTCAATCGACAAGCTCAGCATCTTAGCCACTGAGCCACTGCATCCCTTACACCGCATCCCTTGCTTTTAGAAATGTGAATACAGTACTTTCCTCAGCCATTAGTTGTGATCCTTAAGCACTTGATTATCCAGACAGATAGGTTTTATAGTAAGCTACATGTAAAACATTTTCCTTGAAATGAATAAAAATGTTTTGGAGTTGTTTTTTTTTATTCAGTGAAAATAGCGATGGAGGGAACCCAATCCAGATTAGAGACACGTCAAGGGGAATGTGATTCCTGGTGGCATACAGCCATAAACAAATCATAGCATCTCAAGTATCAATAACAAAAACACCAATAAAGAAAACAAAATCACATAATTGGGGCATAACAACAATATACTCAGCCTCCCAGAATATTCTAGCCTCAATGCTGAAAAAACATCCACAACTTCAAAGCCTTCCTGAAGGCCAACCAGATTGGAGACAGGTGAATCTTAGGGGAGAGACCATTCCAGAGGGCAAGGATCACCACTGAAAAGGCATGCCTCCTAAGTCCTGTCAGATGGCATGTTTCAGGGAAGGGGCCAGGAATGTGCCCACTCTATTGTAATGTGTGGGATGGCCAGAAATAACCAGACACAGATGATCCTGCAAATATTGAAGTTCTGGGAAATGAAGGTGGTAACCAGCATCTTGAATTGCACCTGGGAGCTTATTGGGAACCATGGCAGTTAGCAAAGTAGAGGTGTTACCTCCACAACAATAAGGAATAAAGCTTTTAAATACAAATGGAGAACATCAAATATTTATTTCTAAGGGCTCAATGCAACATTACACAGTACCTCCTCTCCAATTTTCTCTACTACAACAGTCCTATGTGGTAGAGGAGAATCGCTTGCTTGATATACACAATAAGCTTCAAAGCTGATGAGATAGCTGAACCTCAATCTCCCTGGTCTCCCTGGTCTTAGTCTGATATATGAATCACTACATACAGTTGATGTGTGACATCAGTGTGTGTGTTTTTAAAGCCTTGGAGAAACATACCTTCACTGTATGTTTCAGAGTTAACAGCACATCTAACCGCTCATCTTGGGGAAGATCTTTCATACTAATGCTGCGATAGATTCCAAGTAATTCCCTGGCCCGCAGTGTGAATTGTGTATCCATTTCTGTGGTTCTGCCATCAAATGCTTTCCATCTCTTTGGTTCTGCACACTGGAGAAACAATTTGAACCAATGATTATAAAACAAGGGGCAGCACATGAATAAAGTATAGTGATAGAAGTTTAATGGAGGCTTAGTTGTTACTTTTACATATTTAGCATTTCATTTTAATTAATTAAAGAATAATAATTATTCTAAGAAATCAACAATCACTAAAAAATTTTTTTGATAAATTCTTATAAATAATTGTGAAATCCACTGGGTTTATTGTAAATTTGTCATTTCCTAATAAACATAACAAATTCAAAGGACAATACAAAAAAAAATAAGAAAAAGATTTATTCATACATTAATAGATTTAACAGAATGCAGCTAGAATCAGTATCATCATATAATAAAATGAGGACCCGGATTGTGGAGGCAATAAGCTGACTTTGTATAAAAAGAACACCGCTTAGGAGGGGCCAAAAGCCCTACTAAGCAGGTATATACAAAAGTATGAAGGCTATTGCTTAACGCATTGTAAGCCACCCTGAGTCTCCGGAGAAGGGCGGCATATAAATCGAACCAATAAATAATAAATAAATAATAATAAGTTAATAATGCTAATTTATTGTTAGAGGTGAATAAAACATTTTCCAAAATGTATCAAGTTTGTCCAAATTCTTGAAATATGGAAGCCTTAAACACTTCTCTGAAATGATCAATCTACTCTTATAGATTCCGTATTCTAGCACTGAAGTTTTTGCAGATTTTCTGGCAATCATGCTTTTTTAAAACATGGATGAGCAACAAATAAATGAAAATAATATAAATAAATAGAGCTTTAGGTTTGCAGTCAGATAGGGGAAATGGGAAAGACTGGGAAAATAAAATAGTGAGAGGTCATTAATTTCATGTAGTTGAGTTAAACCTGATGTTCGCTTTGCCTTGTCTTCGAAAAAGATTTTTGGAATCTGACTGTTTAGCACCTGTTAGAACCTCAGTGGCATGATCTTCATTCACGTAAACCAATTTTCATGATTCTTTTCATAACAGGAGATTGCACAGCTGTGCACAAAAATTAGGTACAAACCTAGCATAATAATGACTATCCAGGACCTGGAGCTTGGGTTGCTTAATGAAGCTAGGTAATTTTAGACTTTGGATTTAATAGTTTTAGATTTAATAGATTGGATTTAATAAATTTAAGGCTTTTTTCACACTACAATAGATATTGCTTGAGAATAAATTCTACTTTGATGCAGACAGGAATAATAAATTATTTGTAATTAATAAGTAAAATAAAAATCAGCATTGATTAATAACATTTATAGCATTTAGTCAAACAACCAGAAGGAAAATAACTTATTGCATTGAGTAACTGGGTTGCAATAAACCTGTTTCAAACCAGGAACTGACAAAGGACTTGTTGTAGTTATGGGGCCCAAGCTTTGATTGTGCAGTTATGGCTACCATATTGACTTTTTTGATCTCCTTCCATGAATGCCTCCGCATAGTTAGTAAATTGAAGAGCCTTAACATCACTTGACCCCTGCACTTGAGTTATAAACTCCTATACTTTAGATCCGTGGTCCATCCACACTATGAATTCTACATAGTGGAGAAGAGAGACATGCATATTAATTCTCTCTGACAGAACTGGAGATAGAAGAACCATAATAATCTGTGAAAAAGTAACTCTCTCCTGATTTATTTTTTTTAAGAAAAGCAACCATGGCAATACTCCTATCTTTTAAAAGCTCCTTTTCAGTATGACTAAATCTTCAGCCTTGGGTTACTCCTTACTTCCTATGTAAATGCAAGAGATGGAATGAACATGGGTGGGTGGATATTAGGAGATTTCTAGTCCTGTCTTACAGCAATATTCTCTCTAACCTGTCTTGGCCTGTTTAATAAACATCAGCCAGGGTAGATTAATACCTTGGAGCTCTCTTCTAACTGCCTTGGCCCCCTCCTGCTGTAAACTATGTGCTTGGGGAAAGCAAGGAACAAAACTGACTGCTGTGTTCTTTTTTGAACTTTAGCAATTCTATTCCCACAGCTCTATACATCTCTAGGAAGCTTGAATGCCCAGGAACTGTTTGCTACTGGAAACAGAAGTCTGTACACTATTAAGAAACTTCTATTTTTCAAATTATATAAGCATTAAAAAATTAAAATAGAATTTCATAAATATGAATTTGGCAGATTCTTAGTGGGTTTAGTTCTATAATTAAATGAAGTGCAGATAATTGGAACTGATGGACTGAAGCCAAAACCAATTTTGAAAATTGATGCAATAGATTTTTGCCTAAGTAAATAAAATTCTACATCTTTCAATTAGCGCTAGCAAGTACTTGACAGAACCAGAAACAAAATATTGTTGCTCCAGCATAATTAAAGTTCTATTAATTTGTTTTCTTGTGCATGCATGATAACCCAAACCTTTTATAAGTATCATGAGACACTGTAAGCCAGTATTATGACACCCAGAGTAGCTAAACAGATTTAAAGTCACTGATCACACATTAATTTACCCTGTATACAAAACAGTTTAAAGAATGTTTCCCAATCTGGTTTGCTCCACCCTAGGATCAGTGCCTGCCCTTTATTCCCAAATATCACAGGACTCCAGAAACTCTCCTGCATCAAAGCCAGGTGTTTTTTTTTTTTTTTTTTTTTTTGTTGTTGGTTTGTTTTAGCAACAAAAAAAAAGAATAGAAAAGAGCATCTATAAAGTCAGCTTTGCCGGATTAATATTGCACCTGAGGGATGTGTAGTTTTCTGTGGGAATTCTTGCCTTCTCCCAGAACCTCCTGTCCCCTTCAACCCTACTAAAATCAAGGTTTTGTGGTGGCTTGATATCATTCTACCTATGATTAATAAACTGAACTTGAGGCAGCTATATTATGAAGAATTTTAGCAGGTATTATTAAACCAAGTTGAAAAATAATGGGTTTGCATATTAAGAAATCCATGATGTGATATGTTCCAGAATCTCCCAATCTCAATTCTGTAAATCATACAACCAGGCATTCTGAAATGTTTCCTAATCCAACTTTTCAATATGCAGAATAAATTGAAATCCGGAGAAATTGCTTGAACATCCTAAATGTCAAAATTGCTCTACTTATGCAGTAACTATCCATCTTTTATTACATAAAAGATCTTACTGATTGCTCTTTCACACCAGCTTTTGGGCAGAGAGCCCATTTTTAGGATGCAGGTGTGAACTTGATATACATTTGTCTGACTCCAAGCAAGGTGTTAGCAATATAATAGCAGGTAATACAATACATGCCAGATATATCATCTTTATTGTTATTAATTAAGAACTAAAACTTAGGTTACATAATGAACAAGAATGTATTTGCTGTATCTTGTCTCAGATAAGATACCTACAAATGTGAAGCATGTTGGAAATAACATATCTTGAACCTAAAGTTTATACCTTTTTGAACAGTATTATAACTTCATCTTATAAACTTACAATGTCTAAATATATGTATATAGAAAGTGTTAAACAAAAGAAGAACCTGTAGAAAGCTCAAACAGCAAACAATATTTTCATTTCTCCTAAAATATTCAGGGGGCATCTTAAAAAAGCAAGAACGGTTTTAAAATGTATTCATTTTATGACTATTTTTACATATGACACTTAGTATCGTAGATCAATCACAACAAGGAAAACTAAAAAGGACTTTAGTAATTTATAGCAAAACAGGCTGGCTTCTGGCAAAAGAGTGAGAAAAAGGTACATACTCTCCTCTTATTTATTCAAACTATACAATGAATATAATGTGTGTGTGTGTGTGAGAGAGAGAGAGGGGGGGGAGGGAGGGAGGGAGGGAGGGAGAGATCAATTAACTAATGGCTTAATTAAGTGCATGTATTTTAATGTGGCTCAGCAGCCTGGTGGCTCAGTAGACTGATAGCATTGTGATTAACACCAGCTGTCTGCAATTACTGTAAGTTCGAATCTCACCAGGCTCAAGGCTGACTCAGCTTTCCATCCTTTCTAAAGTAGGTAAATTGAGGACCCAGTTTGTGGGGGCAATAAGCTGACTTTGTATAAATATACAAAAGTATGAAGGCTATTGCTTAACGCATTGTAAGCCGCCCTGAGTCTCCGGAGAAGGGCGGCATATAAATCAAATTTAAAAAAAAAATGTGGAGTGGTACATGTATAAAAGACAGGCCCCAGCTGGAAAAAGCCTAGGGAAGTGAAAATAAGGTACATCAACCTAGGCAGTTGAAACCTTGAACCAAAGAGAGAAAGAAAATTGAACAAGATTCTCAAAATACAGTTTGTGATTAAACCACAGTCTTATGTAGAGTCAGTAAAATCAGAATGAGCTACTAAGTCATAATAGAGTTCTTATTCATCTTGTGGGACTTTTGTAACAATTTAGAAGATGTCAGCTTTCTCTAAACAGTATGTTTATATCTAGTTTTGTGTCAACTGCATATGTCATGAGCATGCTTTTCACTGTTTTATTTTAAGCATTTATAACTTTTTAAGATAATATTAGACTGACCCAGAAGGAGCTCTGCGACACATTACTCAACACACTATTCTCTCTCCTGCTTGAAAAGAATCTCTCTATCCATTCCATTAGTCAGTGGTAATTCCACTGAATCTTTCTCTTTTCTTGCCCACATTTTAGCAGACACACCCTCTGGTTCTTCCTAAATACACCATTGCTTAGTTTCTGCTGTCATTCAAAACAATCCTGAGTGTCAATTGTCAGCAAATTATTGTTAGATAGCTGTCTCTTGCAGTGGGATGAGAAAGAGAGATTTTTATTAAACTAAAATAGGATTTTTGCTGATTAAACTGAAGTTAACCACTAACTGCTTTTTCCATCTAATTTTCTCTTTTCAGCAGGGAATTGGATTTAGAGCATAAACTTGGTAAGGTTTCCTATACATTTTCTCCTGATACAAACAGTCTCTAGCAGGGGAGAAGTCTTATGAGGGAGACTGAAGAATAGAAATGAAGCAATTTTAAAATTAGGGAAAGCAATATTTATGGATATTGTACATTATTGTATGCTGTGTATTTGGAAGCGTCAAAGTTTCTAAGTTTATTTCAAGTATAGTGCTGGCTGCTAGTGACATCTAGAGGAGGATAAGCAATTTAAGACATTTACCCTAAAAATAATATCTTATTCTTATCTTTTTCTTATCTACTGTTATTATTTGAATTTGAATTATTTGCTAATATTCCAAAGTAATGGTGAATTTATTTACTCTCTCTACATTCCTATTTTTAATTTCAGTCTGAAGTTTCTTTTAATGAAGAATTCATCTTAATGTTAGAACTCTAAATTCATAAGATATCATTATAAGAAAACACTAATATACAAATGAAATACTTGGGTATTTAGTTCAAATCATAAATGTGAGTAGATTCAACTGGCCTCTGAAACAAAAATCACACAGAGTACAATGCAGAACAACAATTTAAATTTACAGTTTACTTTCTTTACTTGTTTTGGCTTAAAGTATACCTGGTAATTAGAATAAAAGTATCATAGGGCTGGAGCTAGAGTTCACTGCGGGCTCATATTTAAGTGGTAGCCCACCAGGACACCTAGATTCCTCTCATGATTACTACTGTGGAGATAGGTACTGCCTATTCTGAACCTGTGCATTTGGTTTTTCCTGCCTAAATGCAGGACCGTATTCTTCTCACCACTGAACTGCATCTTGTTGAACAAGGCCCGGTGCTCATGTTTGTCAAAATCCTTGCTAGAGATTTGAAAAGGAATAGGCCACTGGAAGCTTAAAAACGAGATAAGAAAAGGATTTCCATTAATTATCTGACACGTTACAACTTCAAACTATCCAGCAGCAACAGGATCCACACCGGAAAGTCAGACCAAAACCAAATTCTTCTTGAGATGCAACTCTACCAGATTCTTCATTTGAAGAGAAAACAGGATGATGGCTATAGTTAACTTACTTGATGCTGCAGTCTTCCCCTAAATACTTCCCCCAATAGAAAATTTATTTTACATGTGAAATAACTAGTGTTCCTGAAAAGCCTTACACAAAACTTCAAATATATTTTCCTGCAATAGAGCCAAAGGGTGTAACAGTGACAGAAATAAGATATTGTAGAATATAAATCCTGGTAATGTGAATGAAATTACTATAATAAATTTACCCCACGTGCCTATAATACAGTATTAATTAAAGGTTATAAAGGGCATAGTTAGCATTATTTTCAATAAGATGTAATTAAGTAAATTAAGATGTAAGTGGTGGCTTCTCTGTACATAGGTGAAAATAAATTCTCATCAAATTTATAAGTATACATAAAGACTTTTAATAACCATATCTAATGAGCCAATTTTACTGCCAGACATGCATAAAGCTCACAAATCATAATTCCAACTGGTAAGTTAATTACTGTGCTTTTCTTCAGTATGCTGTTAGTTTGCAAATGTTAATTTGGGTTTTTGAACTCTGGGTACACTAAGACAGAAATTAACTCACTGACCTTTTCCAGAAAGGACAGGATTGCTTTTTCGTGGTTGTCTTCTACTGCATTTAGTTTGTGTCTCCCAATGCAAGCAATCAGCTGGGTCTCTTTTTCCAGAAGTCCACAGAGAGCTGCTTTCCTTTCAGCTCCAGTGAAAGTGCTGTTGATTCCCTCAAGTTCCTCTTTTCTCCATACTGTATCAACACAAAAAAACTATATTGGTTTTTTTAGCTTTTTTTTTTTGATAAGCCTTCACCAAGCATTAATACAAAATGAATCTTTAAATAGTCAGGTCTTAATAAACAGAAGTCATGTGAGTTGCTATTTGCTTATTCTAAATTATTATTTACTAGTTTAAGTGTTCTTGATATACACCAGTAGAAGTAGAAGCCATCTTCAGGTTATTCAAATCAACTTCATAATATGAGAAAGTTCTTCTGTAATATATACATCTCTCATATTAGCAATATGTAATAATGCAGCTAAACCTAAGACATATAGGTTTCCTTCTGTGGATAAGTAAATTCTATCTCAACAGCCAGTTTATGCTTCAAGTAAGACCAATCTATTTGCTTTCAGGCAATGATATTGATGATATTTCTATATGAGATTATTTGGGCAGGAGTGCAGAGTTAGGCTAGGACACTTTTTTTGGTATTTGCTTCTTCATTATGGAATAATTTTACCTCAGACTACAATGGCATAGGGACTAATGATTTTTAGAAGTGCAGTCAAAATGGAAGTGTTCTATAGAACATCTGATCTACAATATTCCCAGGAGTGGCAATTAAACAGGCACGCTAGTTTTAATGGGAGGTATTTTTTGTAATTATTATTTTTATGGACATATGCTGTATTAATATGTGAAAACAGCTAACAGTCTCTATAGAATTGGTATCATAGAAATGTTCTAGTATATTAATAGAGCCAGTCTGGTTTAGTGATTAGTGATTAAAGCACTGGTCTAGTGATTAAAGCACCAGTTTAGAAACTGGGAAACCGCAAGTTTTAATTCTGCCTTAGCCATAAAAGCCAGCTGGGCGACCTTGGACCAGTCACTCTCTTTTAACCCAATTCACCCGATAGGATTGTTGTGGAGAAATTAGGAGGAGGAAGGAGTGTTGAATATGTTCGCTGCCTTGAGTTATTTGTAAAAATAATAAAGACAGGATACAAATTAATGAATTTTTAGGTCTTATCAAACCACTATCTTATATTTGACTGAGCATGTCACAAGTTTACAAGGTCTCCTGGGTCAGCATAATTTGAAACAGTGCAGTAATTATAACCAAATATTAAGGGCTAAGTAGAATAAGTAATTCTACTTTACCATTTGAGACCTTTGCTAAAGAGCTTTTCAAAACTTCCAGTTTGCTATAAAAGTGCAAAACAGCATTTTATATGCCCTATTTCCCTGAAAATAAGTCCTATCCCCAAATAAACCCTAGCATGTTTTTATGTGTGCGCCTAATATAAGACCTACTCCCAAAATAAGCCTTACTTAAGAGCCTGTGCAGCCAGCCAGTCACCCATTTTGTCTGGTTGCTCGTAGTGCCACGGCCACGAGATGAGTTGAGGTGGTGGAGGAGCTGCCCCACGTGCCCTGACTGGCTTACCTCAGAGCTCCCACAGCCAGGCCATCCACACCCCAATACCTGCCTTGTGGCAGCAACACCAACAGCCATGTGCAGCAGGAATCCACATGGCCACCAATCCACTTCTTCTGCTTGCTTGCAGTCACAATGGTGCAGGAGGCTGAGTGGTGTGTTTGAGTCACGGCCACAAGGTGAGGAAGGTGTTAGGACATGGATGCCCTGTCTGTGAGGGCTCTGAGGTAAGCTGGTGCCGGGCACGTGTGGCAGCTCCACCACCCTGCATCTTGTGGCCACGGCACTGGTCCATCACTCGGCCTCCTGCTCCATTGTGGCTGTGAGCAAGCAGAAGTGGGCCAGCGGCCACACAGGGTCCTGCTGGGTGGGGTTGCTGGAGCTGCCACCGCAAGGCAAGGCAGGTGCCAGGGTGTGGGTGGCCTGGCTGCAGAGGCCCTGAGGTAACCCAGTGCGGGGCACATGGGGCAGTTTCAGCCTCCCTGCCTCACAGCGGTGGCATTAGCATGCCACATGGCCTCCTGCCCCGATGCAAGCAAGCAAAAGAAATGTGCTTAATGGGGGAAAAAAGGACACCCCCTGAAAATAAGCCCTGGTGCTTATTTTGAGGCCCAAAAGAAAATAAGACCTAGTCTTATTTTCGGGGGAACATGGATATTTATTTTTAGATTTATATTCTGTGTTTCAGGAATTTAAGGTGACCTACATAACATTTCTTCCTCCCATTTTTGCCCAACACAGCTATCTTGTGTGATAGGATGGCCTGAATATAAATGACTGGCTCAAAGTCATTTGAGTTTTTATGGGTGATCTCCTCTTTCCTGTTGCCAGTCCAGCATCATACTACAAAGCCTGTTAAAAAATGACACATTTTTTCAAAAGTTTACAAATGTGAATTCTATGATCATGTGCCTCCAAATTGTTATTCTTTCCCTTTCTAAAAGGAAGTCTGGACATAGTTACACAGGACATTTTATGATTCAACGACCAATGCACCTATCCTGAACTTGTTATGATGAATTAAAAATGTTGTCCATGAAATGGCCATAGTTGTTGTCTGTATTTGTGATAATCTCATTAGTGTTCTACTTTACAAACTAAGGTTGAAACAACTTCTGACATTAAATACTTCTCTCTTTTTAGAATTATTTTATCCTTTATTACAATATTTTTTAAAATATTGTGCTACTAATGCATTGCTCATTTAAATAAAAACATAATTCTAAAAAAAATATTTAAAGATCCACAACTTGTGTTAAAATAAAACACATCATTAAAAATGAAGTTCACATTTTGGGAATTTGCATATAAAAAGCCTGCACAAAAGTCATTTACATGCTGAAGGACAAAAGCATAGGGATTTCTGTAATTTTCCTGGCCAATTTTAAGAGCTTTATATTTTAGCAATGTGAATTTAAAAATGATTATAAAAGTGTTATATAATTTGTCTTTATTATTGAGGGGTGGGGACAAAACAGTAACAAAACAGAATTTTATTTTCTATTCCCTATTATTTTCTATCAGCCTTTTAGGATATATTAAATTGTTAAAAAGTTAAGTATTCCTACTTCCCCAAAGTGCACCAAAGTCCAAAAATATAAATATATTACAATTCAATGGTAACAAATTTGCACTTCTAATTATAGCCCTTTTAGTTAGCATTCCTAAAGAAATACTTACAGTATTTAAATAGGGTAAATAAGTATATACAATATTACATTGATTTTTTTTAGTTTCAGCAGATTCTTCATTTACTATAGTCATCTATCATCAAGTAACTGAAATGTTAGTGATGTTACAAGATATATTATCCTTTTAATATGTTTATTGATGTGCTGCATTTCTACTTTTTAAATGCTAAAACAGAATGTTAGCTCTTCATATGTATCACAAGCTTTGTGATTCTTATTTTTAGCAATTTTCTTCCTTGCTATAACCACACAAATACTTCTAAAGTAGCCATGTTCCTAAACTGTTGTAAACTTCATATGTCAGAACCTATTAGGCTACATTTCCCTAACTGTTGATGGCCAAATTATATATTACATTTTATATTATAACTATATATTAGACATATATAGTGTTCTTTTCAAGAAGCACTATGAAAATGAAACAGTGTAATCAATTTCAGGTTGATTTTGGTTGTCCTGAATGTATGCCTTATTGGGATAACTAGTTTTTCTATAGTTTTGTAGCATAATTTTCATAGTTGCAAGGGTGAGAAGGACATGGACTGCTCGGCCGGAGACAGCAAAATATCTCAGGCTATATGTCTGCATGTCTCTCTCATTAATAGTAGTTCTTAGAGGTTATTTGGAATAAGAGAAAGCAAAAAATCTCTTTTCCTTTTTTATTGTCTGATCTAAACCACATTCCTAATCCTTTTGTGGTGCTTTTTATTTTTTGAGCAAACGTGAAGACTCTCAATAATGGCTTATATACCAATAGCACTTAAGACTTATATACCACTTCATAGTGCTTTTACAGCCCTCTCTAAGTAGGTTACAAAGTCAGCATATTGCCCCCAACAATCTGAGTCCTCATTTACCCACCTCAGAAGGATGGAAGGCTGAGTAAACCTTGAGCCGGTGAGATTTGAACTGCTGAACTGCAGCTACCAGTCAGCTGAAGTAGCCTGCAATACTGCACTCTAACCACTGCGCCACCTTGGCATATAGCCAATAACTTAAGACAAAGGTTTGTTGTCTCCTCTGTATGGTCCCATTTTGGTAACACTACAAGTGTGTGCCAGACTAATCATCTAGATCTTCTGCAATTCACCAAATACCCCAACCACAATATTTTAAAACAAATAAGCTGAAAAAGAAATAGAACCTAGATCTGCTGATTTGTCTTATATTTACACTTATATTCTGGATATGCTTCTCATCCTCGGATCTTCTATACAACTATGATAAACACAGTTCAGCGCTGATTCTATCCTCCTTATCAATGGATTCGTTTCTGATGCTCTGGGCAAGGTTTTACAGCCATTATATATGTGGAAATAAGGGGGAGTAGCTCTGACTGATTTAACCATGCATCCTTTTGCTTGAAACAAATAACAGAAAACAAGCCAAAGTTATAACCAACTATTCATCCACTGACAAGACAGCTGAAATAATGACTGTAAAGGATGGGGACTTGCAAACTCATAGTTTACACTAAGCAATGCTACATTGTAATGTAGAGTGCTAGATTTTAATAACCAAGTTGGCATTCAGTTGAAAGTGTCTGACAGCCTATTATGAATTTGTTTTTTCTGCTTTATCAACAAACAATAAAGGTGATGTATCAGTGAAGTCAGGCAGATTATGTCACAAAGCAATATGTGCAAAGTCTCTCACAAATCACTTTTTCTTTCTCTTCCCAGAACCATGTGGATTACTAAACCCCATTTAATACCCAAAGAGTTGAAATCCAGTACTGGAAGTTTTTCAAAGATATCCAAGCAGAGCTGAACTGTAAAAACTGGACTGAATGCACTGTCCTTTTGCCAGTTCTACAGAATGAGCCAAGTCAAGAAACAAGAAGAAAGACAATATAATTAATATTTGCTACAGTAACCGGATCTTGAAGTCTGACAGCTTTTGTCCTTCTTTCACTCTTATATGAACCTTAAGACACAAGGGGGTAATCCTGACTTTCTCACTCCTTTCCAAGCAAAGTTTCCCACTGTTATGACATATTTTCTTCAAGGCCCTCTCCATGCTGCTCTACCTATTATCAAAAGCATCAAAACCATAATACTTACATGATTTTGAGCAGCTTTTAAAAATATTAGTTTCAAAAATCTGCTTATTGAAATTCCATTTTCATTGAAAGACTGAACTATTCTTTTTCTTCAACCAAGTGACAAGCAGATCTCTTACTCTTCTTTAAACGGCAATGAATTGCTCCATGCTTTAAGCATCATTGGTATAAATTATCAGGGTCCATGTGAGGATAGCAGGCACAAATGAAAATAATCAATCACTATTTATGAAGAAACAAGTTTCAAAAAACTGACCTTCAAGTTACAGGGAATCAGATTCACCTGCAAGCTATTTATATCTTTGTATTTCAATGAGTTACTCTAGCCCAGGGTGTCAAACTCAATTTCATTGAGGGCCGCATCAGGGCTATGGTTGACTTGGGGAGGGGGTTGGGACTGGGCAGGCGTGGCCAGCTTGATGCCACTCACTGGGCATGGCTGACTGGGTGGGCGTGGCCAGATGGGTGGGCATGGCCAGCTTGACACCACTCCCCAAACCTATGGGGAATGATCCATTGATAGATCACTGTCCCAGCTGTTTAGCTTGATGGCTCTATAAGAACTTGAAAGTACTTCTATTAAGATAACAAGTGCTTCCTTTAATTTAATCCTTTCTTATTTGAAGATAAAACAATTAAGTCACTTATTGAGGAAGCATCCAGAAAATAATGAATAAAAACAGTAGCAAACAATCTGAAGCAGCACAATTCAAAAACAGCTTATTTAAAGACTGGTGTACTGGACTCTCAATAGCTACTATTATGTATTCAACAGTTTACACAAAGCAATTGGAGAAAGGTTGGGTGTTCGAATCCCTAGTATAGGCCTCTGGCACGAGCAGGGGGTTGGACTAAATGACATCCAAGTTCCCTTCACATCTTGCCTAAGCAGCAAATACATGTTGTATCTATTTCTGGTAAGCAGACCACTGAATCTCTACAGAAGTAAAATATGGCACCTTGAAGAAATGGGATAGAAAAAGTATTGACACTTTTGAACTTTGGGATTACCAAAGACTCTTGAGAATACCATGCACAATCAAGAAAACTAACAAATAGAGCATAGAATAAAACAAGCCAGAGTTCTCTCTTGAAAAACATGTGACCAGGTTCAAATTATTATATTTTAGACACATGATGCAAAGATCCAGATGTTTAAGGACCATAATGCTTCAAAAGAGGGAAGGGAAGAGAAAAAAGAAGACGATCAGTACCAAGGAGAATGGATCTGACTAGACCACTAATGGTGCACTTTTGGAAGACCTAAAGGATCAGATTGGGGACAGATCAGGGGTGCGTTCTACTTATCTTTACCACTGGTTCACAGCGGGGCCACACGTGTGCGTTTGCTTTGCTCTCTCTCTTGCGCGCTCTTCTGCGCATGCGTTTTGATGACGCCGGGGTCAGTGGGCGGAGCCTCCCACCGGTTTTACTACCAGTTCTATAGAACCGGTGCAAACCGGGGGCAACACACCACTGGGACAGATTACTATGAAGAGGGTCTATCTATATGGACACTAGGACCCATCACTTACTTTATGGCATTCACACACTCAATCAAAGCAGTCTATATTTTACTGATATTCAGTCTGATATCTACAAATAGTGCTAAGAAAGACTGATAGAAATTCGCAATGGCAACTTTTTTCAGACTAAGTTTCATAAACCTACTTCAGTATACTTTTGGATAACTCCTAAAAATAGAGCAATTGTTTTCATAACCAGATCAATATTTTTCTAATTTGAAAAGATGAACAGTAGGTAACTGGTGCAGTAGGTAACTGTTAATTAAATTATCACTTCAAGGGAATGGTCTTCTAATTCCAGGCAATGCACAGGTGGATGTTTTCCATTTTTCTTAGATTAGTTTTTAAACTTACCTCTGAAACACTAGCAAAGGCATGTCAGACAATGAATACGTTAAAAAGAAAATCGTAAACTTTTAATTCCCTAAAAGATGGGTTCTTTAAAAGAGAACAGAAAAGTTATGGCTCAATACAATATGCAAGGAAACAGAACCTCAGTGTAGAAGAATCACCAAAAATGTTGCAGTCATTTAAGCCAATGGTAAACTAATTTAGAAGAATTGTATTCCTTAAGGAAACAGAAAAACTATTTAAAAAACCAGCTTCCCTATCTCTATACAGTAACCCAACACATCAAGCAGAGGTTCCTGCTAAAGTTAGTTTTATGTTGTACTGGTTTTATATTGGAAACACTAAAAATATGATTCTCCTTCAATTATTTTGTTTTCATTCAAAACTTTCTCACCATGTGGGAAATGCTCCCCACCCCCAGAAGAATGAAATATTTTGAGCAATATTAAAAAGACAGAATATTATATTTCCCCAAAGGGAGAAATGGAGAAACATTTTTATGAGGCAAAAAACAGCCCCCACTTTTTCTTAATAGCCCACAGCAGATATCAACACTTAAGAGATAAAGAGCTTATTGAAAGAGAAAGGTAAGTATCTAGATAGCCCTATTCATAAGCAAAGCAAATTCTGCAGGCAGAAATCCATTCAAGACAGGATATTTTGAAACTTCCTGCAGCAAAGTCTGAACAAAGGCAGAATGGTAGAATTAGAAGGAGCCCCTCACCCAAGATCCAACACAGGGCAAAAGACATTAAGCCACAATAGGAATTGCCCAACACCCTTTCAGAACATAAGCCCCTTCATTGCACCGTCCTAGAGCAGTCCAAGCATTTTCTCTTTTGCCTATAGAGCCAGCTATGACCCTTACATGACCCTATAGGAATCTGATAACAACCAATAGAATACATGTTCTTGCACAAGGAACAGCAAGCTCAAATACAAAGCCCAAAGAAGGTATAACCCTGCCTCCCACTCTCGACTCCATTTTGTCAGATGCACCAGAACCATAAATGCTGGTGGTTCTATTTACCATTAAAACATCTTTCCAATCAGCCTCCATGTTTCCAGTGTCTTTCTCCCAGCTTGGAACTGAACCAGATGGATATTTCTTCCAACAGCCTAAAACTGCCACCCTACTTTGCATATCTACCTAGAGCAGCGGTTCTCAACCTGGGGGTCGCGACCCCTTTGGGGGTCGAATGGCCATTTCACAGGGGTCGCCAAAGCCCTCTCTCGCCCCCCCCATGCCTTCACACACCCTCACTCTCTGCTCTGTTGGATCGCCGGCCGTTCGCTTACCCCGCCCACTCCCAATCTATTGCTGCCTCCTGAGTCCCAGCTGATAGCTAGAGGAAAAAAAACTGTTTAAATTCTTGCCGCGGGGCTTCAAAAGGCCGCCCTATAGCTAGTGGTGGGATTCTGCCGGTTCCGCCCCGCCCCTTGCCTCGCCCCTCCGCACCACTATTTATTGCCAATAAATAGTGGTGGGCGAGGGGCAGGCGAACCAGCAATTTAACAAATGGTTTGGTGTTTTTTTGTAATTTTATTGGCCTGCGGCGCTTCAGCATAGGCTAATTAGCCCTTGATTAGATCGGCTACCAATCCTACCAGTTATCCCTTCTTCTTCTTCTTCTTGATATAAGTTACTTAATTAATATGTCTTTTAAAACAGATACTTTGTGAGCAACAATGTAGACATAAAGAAGAGAAGCTCATTCAGTAAGGCTTGGATAATAGCTACAATATTGAAAAGGTCTGAAATTTTGCTGATCTGCATGAGATATCCCAGTTTAGCTACAGTTTTGCATCTAATCTACCATAAATGTTGGGGAAAAATGAATAAGTTTGTGTTTACTTATTGGCAATGAAGAAATTGGATACTTACATTCTAAGGCATGATAAAGTAATTCAAAATCATCCTTTGATTTCGGATGCATTCTTCGATTATATTCCCTTAGCAATTTTTCTGCCCTCTCTCTCTGTTTTCTTAGTTCCTCTTGCCTTTCCCATTCCAGTCTCAGTCTTAATTGTTCTTTTAGTTTCTTTACCCACTGAATAGCTAGCCATCGTCGATAATAGGTTTGGATTACAATGGTCTATACATAGGGAGAAGAAACAAAGGACAATTAGTGTTTGTAGAAAGCATAAATATTGTAATATTTCTGCAAAAACAGTGATTCTGTCAATCAAGCAGTTCATGTCACACTAGCAAATTTTAAATATTTTCTCTAGGAAGAGTCTTAACCACCAGCAGTATCTGAATGGCCCACCAGGCAAAGTGTTGGGTTGTCATGCAATATGCTTCAGGAGTTAAATTCATTACTTTAGAAAATCTTCAACTAATTCTTTGATGCAAACTATGATTCAAAAATATCAAAACTGCTCTCCCACTATCTAGCACTGGAAAAATGGATATTTAATGGTTCTTAAATTTTTCTTCATTTTTTAAAGAAGGGGATAGTCATTCATAAAAGTTAAAACAATAAGAGGAAATGCAGCATGCCAAAGTTCGTAAAAATCTGTTCAAAATATTTAAAATTGTTGGGATCTTGGTGTTCATAAGCTTGCTTGTTCTGTGAGGTTTTCTTGCCAAATTAGGTAATACTGCTCTAATTCGTCCTTAATATACTGTTTAAATTTTTTTCAACTTTCTAACATTCAACAACAAAAAAAGAAACTTACAATGAAGCTATATGCCAGTGATGGTAAACCTTTTCAGCACTGAGTGCCTAAACTGGAATGTGTGCATGCATGTGCATGCACGAGCCAGAGTGCCGGAAACCCGAAGATCAACTGGCCAGAGCTCCGGCGCACGTGAAGACCAGCTGGCAGGTGCGCATGCGCATGCTGGAAACTAGAAAACCAGCTGGTGACAGCAGGCATGCCCAGAGAGAGGCCTCTGTGTGCCATCTCTGGCACGGATGCCATAGGATCACCATCATGGCTATATGCTATGATCAATTAACAACAGATCCCACCTTTCTCCCCATCCTGCTCCCACCCTTCCCAACTTTTAATTGGGCTACAATGTTTGGCTTTTTGTATTAACTTATTTATATTTTTAGTTTACATAGTTGTTACCTTTAATGACTGTAAAGCCGCCCAGAGTTACTATGAGGTAAGATGGGAGGCCTATAAATTTTACAAATAAATATTTTCAAAATAGGGTAAAAATTAGGCTTTGCGTTTTCAGACTACATTCTTTTACAATCTGCAGAACTCATTCTGATTTGAGAATGGATTAATTGTATTAAGCAACTAAGAGTTAAAAAAACAACAACATTGTCCTTTCCTTTTCTGGCATAGCTGCAGTGGTGGTTCCTCCCGCTTCGGTCCGGTTCGGCCGAGCCAGTAGTAGTGACGATATGATGTCACCGAATCGGTTCTCCCCCCCCACCCACATTATTCTTACCTTTTATTTGGTCCCACCCTCAATCTATTGCTGCCTCCTGAGTCCCAGCTGATGGCTAGAGGAAAAAAAACTGTTTAAATTCTTGCCGCGGGGCTTCAAAGGGCCGCCCTATAGCCAGTGGTGGGATTCTGCCGGTTCTAGGAGTCAAACCATTTGTTAAATTGTTGGCTTGCCCCGCCCCTCCGCACCACTATTTATTGCCAATAAATAGTGGTGGGTGAGGGGCGGGCGAGCCAGCAATTTAACAAATGGTTCGGTGTTTTTTTGTAATTTTATTGGCCCGCGGAGCTTCAGCATAGGCTAATTAGCCCTTGATTAGATCGGCTCCCGACTCTCAGCTGATTTGCTCTCAGCTGTTTTGCGGAGGGCTCTGCTGCTTGTTTGCAAAGAGTGCTGGAGCAATTTCCCCCCCCAGTTATGCTGAAAAACAAAACTGAAAGTAAAGCAGGCTGTTGGCTTTGCTGTTGCTACAACACTGGAAAATTAGGCAGGCAGATTTCTTTTCTTTTTCCTCACCAAAAAAGGTAGGTGCAAACAATGGGAAATTTAGGGAAAAAGAGGAGAGTTCAAGATTTTAAAACACAAAAGAAAAAAAGCTCTATTTAACTAGGGAATTGTAATAATTGAGATACTATTAATTGTATATTGTGTTGAAAGCAGAAATGGTTAAGTTGTGGTTTGGAGGAATATATGGTGGAAATTATTTGGTTTATTATTATTGGTAAATATAATTAACTGATTTGTAAGAAATTGGATTGCATGGAAATAATTGGAATATTCATGTTCATATTGATTAATATACAAAAAAGGTAGTTATATAACTAATTGATTTATATTAAAATGTTGAATTTATATTAAACAACTGTAATATTACATAATTAACCAATTTGAGGATGGATATAAAAATAGATGACAGTGGGAAGGGGTATAATATAGAATAGAAGGGAAAAATTGAATTTGATTAAGATTAGAGATGAGGATGAAGGGTAATATTGGTTTTTTACAAAAATAGATGAGGAATAAATATGGCAAAAAGGAAATATAGAAATTGTAAATTTAATTGAAATGACTAAACACTGTTTAAATTTGTGAACCGGCCAAATACTCTGTTCAAAGAAAATACATTGTATGTTTGTATGTGTGTTTCTAATTATTGTTATTTATTCATATTTGTTCTCTTTTATTCTTTAAAGTTTAACAATTCATTCTTTATCTTAATATTTTTATATCTTTGTTTGGGGTTGGCTTTCTTCCCTTTCATCTTTTTTATTGTACAGCAATCTTTCTCCTCAAACCTACCACCTCTCTCTTTTCTTTCCTTCTTACTTTCTCTTCCTCACCCTCTTCTTCTCCTCCCTACTTCCTTTTCCTTTCTCCTTCTCCTCCTCTCTTCCTCCCTCTCTTACCCTCACTCCTACTCTAATTTCCCTTCCCTTCCTTCATCCCTCTCTATTGCTGTATCCTTTTATGCATATGGACTACTCAGAGGGTTGAAAAAGTTATTTTTGACTGGTCCTTACACTTTTGACCAGTCCTCGAACTTACGACTGTTCTCACAATTTACGTTTTTGCGCTATCTTGTCACCATGGTGAAGAGAAGCAGTTGTGAAATGAGTGACACGGTTGTTAAGAATGCTATAATGGGCATAAATGATGACCAGTCATAAGTGCGAAGACCGGTCAAAAGTGCGAGGACCTGTCAGAAATCACTTTTTTCAGCCCTCTGGGTAGTCCTTTTGTGCATATGGACTACTCAGAGGGCTGAAAAAGTTATTTTTGACTGGTCCTCGCACTTTTGACCAGATCTCGAATTTACGACTGTCCTCACATTTTACGTTTTTTGCCCTATCTTATCACCATGGTGAAGAGAAGCAGTTGTGAAATGAGTGACATGGTTGTTAAGAATGCTGCACGGGCATAAATGTGAGGATGGTCATAAGTGTGAGGACCAGTCAAAAGTGCGAGGACCTGTCAGAAATGACTTTTTTCAGCCCTCTGAGTAGTCCCTATACACATAGCCATGGCCACCCAGTCACATGACCAGCTAGCCACGCACACCCAGTCACATGACTTCCAAGCCACGCCCACAAAATAAGCCACGCCCACAGAACTGGTAGTAAAAAAAATTTAGACCCCACCTCTGCATAGATGGTATGATTTCACCCAATTATTAACTTGGGGCCAGAACCCTGAAGGTTTTTGAATCAAAACAGGAAGATATTTTTTTGTCTGAAATGGTATAGAGCCATGATGGCAAACCTATGGCATGCGTGCTACCTGTGGCACACGGAGCCATATCGGTGGGCACACAAGTGTTGCCCTAGTTCACAGCTCCACCTGATTTTTGGGCTTTCCGGGCCCACCGGAAGTCGGGAAACAGGCTGGTCCCATCCTCCGGAAGGCCCCTGGGGTGTGTGGGGAAGACCCATTTTTTGCTCTCCCCAGGCTCCAGAGCCTTTCTAGGAGCCCAGGGAGGGCAAAAACGACCTTCCCCACCCCCCACCCTGTTGCTAGTTTGGTTATCCTGGTTAGGCCCATATATAAGAGACTGTAGACTTTCTTGTAATAGTAATATTTATTTCTTTTCTTCCTCAGGAACACAATTAGACAAGCACTAATCTGGGAGGAGCAAGAACTTATATACAGAGAAGGCGGGGCTAATGGTAAGTACTAACCAATGGTAAGTGACACAATGACATCACACAATGACATATAAACAAGCACACATATTTACAGATATCAGGTTAGGTATTTTCATCTGTAACAAATCCCCCTCTAAAATACCTAACTAATGGTGGGTTATTAAGATTATATATGTACATCAAGTTTGGAAGTCAAGTACATATGTTGTTTGGTTGGCAATGGCTTAGTGAGGATATCAGCAATTTGTTCACTAGTATTGCAATGGATAGCTTTAATAAATCCTATACTTGACAGTTGTCTTACATGTTTATATTTTATATCGATATGTCGAGATCGTTGACCTATTGCTTCGGAAGCTGATATATCAATTGCTGCCTTATTGTCCTCATTGATAATAATTGGATAAACAGGTTCATCCCACACATTGGTTAACAAGTCATCGAACCAAGTTAGATTGTTGACCGCTTTGGATAAACAAACATATTCGGCTTCCGCTGTGGAAGTGGCAATTAAATTCTGTTTGCCTGTGTACCAGTGCACCGCACAGCCATTTATAAGAAAAACATATCCAGAAGTACTTTTTCTGGTTTTTGAATCAGTAGCCCAATCAGCATCAGCGTAGCAGGTCAAAGTTGGTTTTTCAGAAATGAATGGTTCTAAGAATAAGCACATATCAATGCTAGACTTTAGATATTTTAGAATCCTCTTAATTCCTTCCCAGTGGTATGAGTTAGGATTGCTTACATGTCTTGACAACAAATTTACAGCAAGGGTGATATCAGGCCTGGTCCAATTAGATATGTATAATAAGGACCCAATAATTGATCGATATAACGTGTTATCCTTGAATGGTTCGTACTCATTATACACATTCCTATAAAAATCAGTTGACATAGGAGTATCACAAATTTTTGAATTAATTAAGTTACATTTTTGTATGAGTTCCATAATCTTGTCTTTCTGAGATAATTTGAACCCCTTATCTGTTTTGTCAATTTGGACTCCTAGATACTTATTTACCTTTCCTAATATTTTTAAGTT